TTGTTTTCCTTGGATACTGTCCTGCAGGCGAGTGCTGAGAAGGGAGGAAGGGCACTCTGGTTGTTCTCGTCTCTCTTCAAAGATAACAAGGTCCGAATGCAGATCGGTGGTCTTTAGACTGTGTGTCCAAACAGTTCTCCTTCATGGTTCTCAGCTCCTGGGCAGGCAATGGAGGGGTATCATTCAGCCTATTTGCAAAGTCTGTGAGCTCCTAGCAGTAGGATGATTTTGTGGTAAGAAGGGGAAGTGCCTGCAGGGAAGGAGGGCCGCAGCCTACACTAAGTTTTGTGAGCACCCTGAAGGAAGAGTCAGCTTCATGCCAGGTCTATCTCTTTGCCAGAACTGTTCACATGAGGACCTGGATTAAACAGTCGGTGCTGAGTAAATCTGTATTGGAGTTGAGCATTGGGCTTGAACCTTAAGATCATTAAGGTGGCTGATATGTCGCAAGTGGTTCTATAAACGTCCCCCTATCACATTGAAGACACATGTCTTACAAATAGCCGATGAAGAAACTGATGGTTGATTGCAGCTGCCGGAAGCCACGTCTTGGAGTCTGGGTTTGTGCTCACATCCTTGTAGTTTAGTGATTAGAGCACTTGCCTCGCAAGATTGAGGACCTGGGTTTGATTCCCGGCCAATGTGAAACATTGTGTAAGTTTCATTACTCCACATGTCTCTGTTTACCGAGCAGGAAGTAGAAATCCGGTTTTTAGTCAATTGACGGATCGCTTTTCTGGGATTAATAATCCATTAAAAAAATGTGGTCGCTCAATGCACGACTGTTTGTGGGACACTACTGTGCGCAATTGGCTGCAGTGTTTCAACCTCAAAATATACAGTCAATTCACTTTACAGTATATTCTGTGAAGCGCTTTGAGACATCTCGAAGATATGATAAGGTGCTATATCAAATGTACAGATTATTTATGTTATAATATTGAGAATGGGAGCATACAATGCAAGATGTACCAAGAAAAAAATGGAAAAAGTCAGGAAGACGCACAATTCTGAAGAATGCAGAAAAAGGTGCATCTTAATCACGTTTTAAAATACCCATGGCATTGAAGAAAACTGCCTGCCTCAAAGCGAATGACTGTCATCTGTATTGTAATGGAAAGGAGACCACATCAGCTGATTCTTCAGATTCTGGTGAGTTGATTTTCAAAGCATACGTGTAATGATTGTGTATTTATCAAGCATGCAATACTGACCAACTTGATGATGACAGACCAAATTATTTTATATAGGTGTCTGTCCAGCTTTGTTGGCAGTATTCCAGTCTCTGAGTCAGAAGGCTGTGAGCTCAAGCCCCAATTTAAGACTTGAGCTCATAGTCCAGGCTGATTCCCTTCCCCTGTACAGTGCTGGCTGAGAGCTGCATTTTCAAAGCTGTTGTCCTGTCTGTTTTTTCAGTTGGATATAAAGATCCCATAGTAATAATCAAAAACAGAACTCCAGCTAAATTGGTCATTCACTCAATTCATGGCTGTTTGTGGGACATTACTGTGATTACAACAACTGCTGTATTTGTTTATAAATGCTTGTCAGCAATTCTCTGTGAAGATCTTAGAAGTTTTGACATTTTTTGGTGCTATATCAAATGTAAAGATTATTATTTGTTTGAAATCTTAAAGTGCATTTTTAGATGCAGTGTGCGACTTTTTTTAATTGCTCCATTCATATTTTCGCAGGTTATTTGACATTACAACCAATTCATCCAATTCTCTGTTAAAGCACAAGAAGGAAAACAAATCAAACATTTCACATCAAGATTGGAGAGGGAGAGAAAACTGCAAAATCAGAAACCCATAATTTAGGAACGATATTCCTCCCCAAAAATATTGTGTACCTAGAGAGAGTAAAAGACGCAACACTCTTGAGATCACTTGGCACCACAAGTGTTAAATATGCTGTGCAATCTACCTTACACCAGTTGCACACAACATGACAAGTCTCACATCAGTATACTTGAGCTCAGTCTAGGCTGACCCTTTAGTGCAGTTCTGGGGGATTGCTGCATTGTCGCAGTCTTTCGAATAAGATGTTAAACCATGCTCCTGTTTGCCTGTTTTCAGGTGGACATTAAAGATTCCTTGATACTATTCGAAAAAAGAGAATCAACAATCCTCCAGTTATGGAGTCCTGTAGCTCAGTGGTTAAAGCAGTTGCCTCACAAGTGAGAGACCTGGGTTCGATTCCCGGCAGAGTGAAATGTCGGGCAAGTTTCCTTACTCCACATGCCTGTTTACCTAGCAGTAAGTAGGAACCCGGTTGTTAGTCAATTGGCGGATCGCTTTTCCGGGGATAATAATCCTTCAAAAAAAACAATAATAATTTGGTTACTCAATCCACGACTGTTTGTGGGACACTGCTGTGAGCAATTGGCTGCCGTGTCTCACCCACAAATATACAGTCAATTCATTTTATAGTATATTCTGGCAGTGCTTTGAGACGTCTAGAAGACTTGAAAAGCGCTATATCAAATGCAAAGATTATATATTGGTGATTCACCTCATGGCTGCTTATGGGACCTTGTTGGTGGCAAATGTCGGCTTTATTTGCAAAAACAGTCATTTCACTTGACAGCAATTACCCGTGAAGTGCTTTGAGATAAGGTGTATAAATGCAAGTTTCCTTGCCCAGGAATTTGATTTCTGGATTACTTATGTGGTCTTTTATGCTATGAATTTGATTAAATATGTAGATAGAGATAGTTTGCTTTGCCTCAGTCACAGTACTTCTTGCGTTCAGCGTTTCATCAGTGCTTTCAATGTTGTATAATGCTTAGATGACTTCAACTACATATCATAATGGGACATAATTATGTCCCATTGGTATTCTCAGATAAATTAGCAGAGGTATAGGATAATTGTGTGCAACCCTACTGTACGTGTTTAAGCTATGCCAAAAGAGCCTTATATTCGATGATATAAACAAATTGCACAGCTATGTAAAAAATATAAGATCAAGAACTATATTTTATTAAACATTAAGCAATGCAAAAAATATTGTTTAGTATTCTTTTCAAGTATGCTGAAATTAATCGGGTTTATTTTGATCAAGTTCATTTACCTGAAGTCATTTTAGATTGTAGTAGGTCTATTAAAGTTGGATCAAATTTTGAACAATGTAGTGGTGATTACAATATGTTTCACATTATAATGCACCAGAAAGAGTGCAGTTCTTTGTGTGACGTAACATTTCTGCACGTGGTTATTCTGGCACCTTGCATTTTCGTAATGTTTTTACTTTCTAACTATTTGCTAGTCACAAAGAACAAAATGTTTTTCCTATGATCAATTGTTGTGCAGAAAGCCAAATTGGATAATTGCATAAGAAATCCAGTCTTGTATTCTTTGTAACTAATATAGAATACTCTTAAGTCGTTTTCAGCACCCCCACCTTCCTCCAGAGTTGAAGAGCTTTGGTAACATTCAGCACAAGCCTGAAAAACCTGGACGACTGTTTTGGAAGTGGCAGTGGAAGTGCAACTTGTCCATCTATTATAGATCCATTGATGAAGCAAACCACCTTTCCACATGTTGATCCATCAGTAACGTTTGAATGGGTCTCAAAATAACTATAACCATTAAATGAGGAAAATGTTAATTTACAAGACACGCCCCTTCCCCAACTATTGCCAGGACCAATGGGTCCACACCAGTTGTACTTTTACCCTTCTTTACATATGAATCTCATTCAGTACCACAGTAACCTGCTCCTTTGTCTGAGACAAAACCACTATTTTAGAACATGAATCAGGTCTTCATTCAGACCATAAGCACATGACAAAATACAAAGAGTACTAAGTGTCAAATGAAACAATGAGAATCAGAAGGCAGTGTTTGATTCTTAAAGCTCCGTAACATTTTGACTTTTTAAAAAGAAATGAATGAGTTGGGATATTTTTACATATAGATCAATTTACTTTTAGATTTCTGGCAGTCCTTGCAAAGTCCTTAAATGTTTGTAAAGCCTCACTATCTTATAAAACATTTTACATTGTAAAGGCTGTAATTTTGCCATGTTTGAGGGAGGGATCCTGAATTTGGTATGCAAAATGTCAAATCTTTTGATAGTAGTCATTAACTAAACTCATGAAAGGTCAAAAATTTTTAACACAATTACCAGATTAATTATTTTTCAATATTTAAATGCAAATAAAATCATAGTCTACACTTGGCCAATGGGATTCGGCAATCATTGATTTTTTTTAAAATTTAAAAACATTAAAATGACAAGCTCTGTAATGCCTATGACAGCTGTAGATGGATACAACTGCAGAACAATTGTTCATATTCAACAGATAAGTTGGAGATAATTGGAAATGTAGATCAACTGATACAAAAGCTTTACATTTACCTGCAAGTAAAGTTCATACTCTTACCGGCATACTAAATTGCATGTCACCCACAAAATATAGAATCAATTAATTCACTTTACAGTATATTCTGAAGCACTTTGAGACGTCTCTAATGGAAGGATTATTATTATCAGATCGACCTCTGCCGTTGTCATACTTAATGTATTTTAGATATCTAGTTTGCACTAATGGCATCTTTTAGGATTTAAGCTTTGAGTTGTGTTATAGTGTGACGTACATTACCAAATCTGGCCTTCTCACATTCCAACCCATATATACAATGTTTACTGCTGTAATTGGCTGTCAAGCAAACAGGGAAGAAGTAAACCACTGCCTTTTTTGTGCCTCAAAGCAGACCTCTAATCATTTCTGAGCCCTTTTGCGCATGATCCCTGTGTTTTGTAACTTAATGTCCAGTTGAGCAGGCAGTTGGAACCTCAGTTTTAATGTTTCATCTGAAAGAGTTTCATATAAGAACAATGCTTATGGCAGCTCAAATTGTCTAACTTCAACGTGCCAAGGTTTCCGATTTGGTTTTGCTCTTCATTTTATTGTATTTTTTGTTTAATATGAATATCAATAGGATTTGATTGTTTTGTACAATAAAATGTAACCTTTTTTGTTTCAATTCCAGAAAAGATGACTACATTAAATCAGCCTACACCTAAAGACAACAGCAAAACCATTGAAAATGAGGTTGAGCTAACGTACAAGCAAGAAAAGAAGCTACGCTCAAATATTCGAACCACAGAAAGAGACAATAAGAAAACCGTGCAATGTGCATTTATGCTGGACCCTATTAATGGGTCATCTTCAAAAAATTCAATTCCGAACAAGCCTTACCTTTGCCTTAGCCGCAGTAACCCAACCCCTCCAGTTTCTGTGCCAGTTAGCAGAACTTCACGACAGACTTCCAGAACTGATTGCCCAGCGGATCGCTTAAAATTTTTTGAAACTTTACGATTACTTCTTAAGCTTACCTCAGTTTCCAAACGAAAGGAGAAGGAGCAGAGAGGACAGGAAAATATCTCGTGCGAGTGGGTGAACAGATCAAACGAACTTATTTGGCTGGAGCTGCAGGCTTGGCATGCGGGTTGTAGTATAAGTGACCAAGACGTTTATCTGTACACAGCGCGCCAAGCTGTCCCTGATATTATTAATGATATTTTGAACTTTAAGGTAAATTATGGAAAACTTTGTGCTCTTAAAGGAATTGGTCACATTGATGCTGCTGGAGGGGTTGAGATTGCCGAACAGAAGACGGAATGTATAAGGACTTCAGGAATACATGTCTTTGGTCATAGCGATTATCAGGAACACCTCCAGTGTCAGAGAGTGGCATTTGAGCAGGTAAAAAGTATTATGGAGCTGCTAGAGTCTGTGGAAGCACTTTATCCATCATTACAGGCCCTCCAAAAGGACTATGAGAGGTACGCCGAAAAGGACTTTCAGAGCAGGGTGCAGGCGCTCTGCTTGTGGTTAAATATAACTAAGGACCTAAACCAGAAGCTAAACCTAATGAGAACAGTCTTGGGCATCGAGAAATTGCCCAATGTTGGCTGGCCAGTGTTTGAAATCCCGTCTCCTCGTCCTTCAAGAGCAAATGATCCCAATGAGGAAGAGGATGATAGAGAGGACTGCTCAGAAACTTGCTCAGGGGAAAGTAAAGAAGAGAAAGAGGATGAGCACAGATTCTTTGGGTCAGCAAATTGCACAGAAAACAGTGTGCATAAGCTCAAAAAGAAGGTACACGTTTGCTTTCAGCCTTCAGATGGTTTCCCAAAGAAATTTGAGAGATCTGTGTCTGATGATGATCCTGGTTCACTTGGCAATCAATCTTCTGAATGCACACTTGATACTATTTTCAACAGAAGTTGCCAGACATCTATTTATAGGCCTTTTGTTGACAAAGCACTGAAACAAATGGGACTAAGGAAGCTCATAATGAGGCTTCACAAGTTAATGGATGGGTCCCTACAAAGAGCACGTGTAGCACTGATGAAAGACGATTGTACACTGGAGGTAAGCACCACATTGAACCTCTTGTCTACAGCAGTATCACTACGCGTATAAAAACGGGTGAACTATTTGACTGAATATTGCAGGATTACTGAAAGCCTTTGCTCAGTACAGTACAACTTTGCATTCATATGGAGCCTTGCACATCAGGAGGACATCCCAAGGTGCTGGGGCTGGGAGTCGAAGGCGAGTGGGGATGGGAAAGGTGACTGAAAGCACGGTCTAAGGGGTAGGTCTTGAGAGGGACCTTGAAAGAGGTGAGTGAGGGAGGGACTCTGGGAGGGAGTTCCAGGGATTGGGGGCAGATAGGCTGAAAGCCTGATGGCTGATAGTGGGGTGGTTAGGGCAGGGGACATGAAGCAGTACGGTTCCCGCTGAGTTATATAGTTTGAGGAGGTCCAAGTGTCAATGTTTGATCTTGCTTTTGTGTGTTCATTATTGCATGTTTATATAGAGAAGATACAGATAAGTGGGTTTGATTTATTCTCCCGAGTACAGATGCCTTCTGAACTTTTGTGTAAAGTGAAAGATTTACGAGTCCCTTTATTTTTTTTGTCCACCTATATTGAAGTTGTAATTCTGTGCAGTTCACGTACACTTTTGGTGGCTCGTACTAGGTCAACAGCAGATGTCTGCAGACCCTCTGGCTGCCTTCCTTCTCAACTGAGCAAGAGCTACATTTCTGTAAAAGTGTAGGAGTTTTGAGAATCCAGAACGATCCAAATGAAAACTGGTGCAAACTATGTATACTTACAATAATCCCTGCATTTGATAGAGTGCCTTATTGGAAGGTCGTCTCAAAGCTCTTCACAAGGTTTTAACGTGAAATGGAGTGACTGATATTTAGACAAAATCCAGCTGTGCCTGCTTTTCAAAGACATTTCTCAAAATGCGAGGATCATACTTTCAAATTTGCCTCAACGTAGGTAGTGAAAACTTGATATTTCTGACAAAGAGGAAAAGTTTAACGTGCTGAGATATTGCAAGAAAAGCAACAATTGAGTTACTGCATATCCATCAAATTGCTGACTAAGTACAAAGTCACAGTTATTCTGCACATTTGCATCAGTTTCGCACATTTTGTCTTCACTGAGTTGATACCAGCTGTGCAGAATAAGCCTGTTGACTTCTGAGAGATGGCCATTTTGGTATTGTATCAATCTTGTGTTTACAACTTTTCGTACTTTTACACTCTACTGCTGCCTGTAATGACAGGGGAACCCCATTACAAAGTGATGGCCAGGATCCCAACTCATGTACTAGCCAGTTTCATGATCCGTGTGTGTTTCTTGTCCACCCAAAAAATGAACAACTTCCAGGTCATTATTTTTCTGACAATATCACCTACTGTTTTCTGTACATGAACAAACCAGGAAGTGACGACAGCAAGCAACCTGTCATTAATTTTAGCTCGAAAGCCACCTGATGCGCAATAAGTGAGTGGCTGGCTATGCACAAACACAGTGAATAGGGTCCGCACTGCAACAGTTTATAACCAACTTTGCAATTTAAAGAAGTGTGTTATGAGGCTGCTATGTGTTATTAGTTCATCCCACAGTCCCTTTCCCTTGCTACCTCCCTTGCCTCCTTCAAGGCATGTCTCAAGACCCTCCTCTTCGACCATGCCTTCGGCCACCCTGCCCTCCACCTCCCTGATCCCAACCCCCTGCTTGGATCCAAATCCCTAACTGTCCCAACACCTTGGGATGTCCTCCCGACGTGAAAGGCACTTTACAAATATAGGTTTTGTTAATTTGACAGTGGATATTTTGCAAATGATTTGCATTTGGTGCCCGCTGAACTGCAAGCATCCCGAAGTGCAAGCCAGGATTGACATAGCAGTCCTCAAGTCTTGGCCTTTGTCAAGTCGAATACTGTCTGGAATTAGGTAAGCAGGGTGCATCCCTCTAGGGAGAGAGTGTGCCTTCAGTTTTAAACACAGGAATTTCCATATGTAAAGTGGTGTGTATGGAACCCTCAGTTTGGTTTGAATACTCTTAAACATGGTGATGGGTACTGCATGTGTCAGACACCTGACTGGTCAAAAAAAACAGGACTCGTACACCACTTTTAATGTACTGAAGGTTAGTATCTATAAATTTCCACTCATAAATCAGTTCATACTTCCATATTCACATTTGTTGCAGTAATTCCTTAATCTACCCAAACAAAATATTACTTTGACTTTCAGTGAGAGTTATACATCATTTGTATCTTTCAGTGCTTATGAATCAGGAAACCTTGACCTTGTGCTCTCCAAATGAGTCTAGGTTTGTTGCTTGATTCAAACTTAGTAAGAGGATGTTGTACATTCACTTCTAACATACAAAAAAACTAATAAACAAAAAAGTAAATATTGTTACCAAGGGAGGGTGTTTAGTGTCCAGGACATTGGACTCATTTAAGAAACAGTTAATGCTAATAATGAGAACAGTAGGGTTGGTATTCTGGAATAATGGGATAAAATGGCCAAGGGCATTTTTCACCTGAGCCTGTCTTGTAATATGCAATCTTACGTTTCGGCACTGCAGTGCTATATTGGAGCTCATGAGAATATTTTATATATTATACTATTAATGTGAATCCATCAGCAAATTCCAAAAGATGGTTTTAATTCAGCAAACAGTGGTGAAGCTGCCACTTGGAATGGCCATTGTACTTTTTGTGTTGAAAATGGCCCTATGTTTTTGATAGATTTGTTTTGATTACAGATGTCGCACGTGCAAATTTGATCGTACAAGCGAGGCATGAAGGAGTATGGGTATAGGGCAGGCCAATGAGATTGAATAAACATCATGCTCTGAGAGTCAGCGAAGATTCAGTGAGCCAAATGGTCTCCTTCTATGCTGTAAATTTCTATGATTTTACATGTACACTTAAACATACTTTTCATGGATTATCGAAACTGTAGTTGTAATTAACTACAACCTTTTGTAGCTATATTGAGCAATTAATTTTAGTTCAAGCAGCTATAGTACTGCATTAATTGAAGCTGCAATGAACCATCATTAAAAATCAGCTTATTTTAGCTATTCAACTTGCTGGACACATTTTTCCTCAAGAGTGGAGGAAGAAGAGAGGAATGAAAGATAATTGCAAACTGGTAGTATCAGTACTGTGGTCTGAATTTTATTATAACCAGACCGATGCAACTAGTTGTTCATGCCTTTCTGCCCTGTGCACCTAACCAAAGTTAACCAGATACAGTCATAACTTGCATATAGTTTTGCGAATTTATCTTGTTTTTTTATTTCAGTTCTCAGATGGTCCAGAGCCCTTGACATGTCATGATTACCTGCCTGAACTTTCAAAGCATTTGTGCTACATATCTTCCTGCACAGAGCAGAAGGGCAGGTCTGTGTCCTGGGAAGAGCTGGAGACCATGGAACTCCCATCTTTCCAGCCTGCTTACCTGGTCTTGTGCCGAGTCCTCCTCAATGTCATTCATGAGTGCTTGAAACTGAGGTTGGAGCAAAGACCTGCAGGAGAGCCTTCACTGCTGAGTATTAAACAGGTAATCTGCCAACGCTTTTGCAGTCATAAGCATAAGAATTAAAATTGTTCTCAATTTCAGGATTTTTTTTCAACATAATTGCCAATATTTGTGTGTGTCTGTGCTAATTCACGTCTGTATTTGTTTTTGGCTTGTATGTGTGTTTGTTCGTACACATATGCTTATATGTGAGGCACACATTTTTGCAAGAAAACATGCATGATCCTATTGTCATTAACAAGTTGTTTGTTACGGGCGCTATGAATTGTTGATGCATAAGTTAAATATTGCTGCACTTAGTGACATGGGTTTGACCTTCTAAAATAGTGGTGGCCAACCCATGGCCCACGGGGCCGTCAAGAAGTGGCCCCCGAACGTTACCTAAGTCTAGGTAAGTCCGCACAACAGTATTGTGTTTCCAGGTTTTTCTTGATCGAATATTTTTTGATTTATGCTATAAATCAAGAAATATTCAATCTAGAAAATATATTTTGTAGACCAGCTAAAAAGGCTAGTCTAAAACATTACATACCTTCTTGAAGCTCCATATGCAAATGAAACTTATCTGATTAAAATATAGTTTGAATGTAGATAATCATAGCTTAAAATTATGTTTGAGTTTCATAAATAAGGTGATTTCTGTATGTTTAATGTCTGTTTTTGTTGCAAAATTACAAGTTGTTTTTTTTTATAATCTAATTGTGAGGTTTCTGTTGCTAGATATACCTATTTCTGTTTACAACATTCTTGCTCTACTTTAGAGAAACTAACTTGAACAGCTGGTACTTTCAGCAGCATTAGGTCCATACACAGTAGTGTTGATCTGCCATCAGAAGGATGTGTTTTTCCACAAAATGTAGCTTGAAGTTGCTTCTCAAATAGTAATGTAAAGCAATAAGTTGAGAAGTTAAGAAAAAAGTAGGGTGGTTTAATTGCGACAGGATTTTTCTTTAGCCACAGTTGAAAAGACATTTGTTTTTATTGATGCACGTTATCTTTTCAACTCGCCTGGCAGGAAAGTGAAATCTGCTAAATGCCTTTCCAAGAACATCCCATCAATTAAACTTTTTGGTGTTTGGCCTTGCTTAAAAGTGTTTCCGTGCCACTTGAAAGGCTAGCTGCACACGACTGTTTTTTGTTACAGCTGGTGAGGGAGTGTAAGGAAGTGCTGAAGGGCGGCCTCCTCATGAAGCAATACTACCAGTTCATGTTGCGGGAGGTCCTGGGGGAATTACACAGGCAGCAGAATGTTGACAGTAATATTGATGAATTTGAGGAAGACCTACACAAAATGTTAATGGTGAGTATGTAACTGAGGAAACATTCCTGGATTTTCTGTGAGTATATGCATGATGTGCAATCAGGCAGAACCTGTGGGTTTGTTTTGTTGCTGCAGGCAGTTTTTAACTAGCAAAAATAACACATCATTGCTACAGTTGTCTGTTAAAATTGAATCCAGCAAGGAAATTAATGTAATTGTTTAATAAAGTTATTTTGTACAGTGCAGTAGATCTCTTGGTTGAACCTTTCTTGATAAATTTGATTAGTGCCCATAAGAAATCTCACAGCTGCTCTGGTTCCTCATAGCTTTAACACCTCCTCTGCTGCTTCTCACAAAAACCTTTCTTTTGCAACCGCCTTAAAAAGGAGGACTTCCTTTGCCACGTTTGTTCCCTTCTGCTCCAGGCAGTGGCTGTTCTAGGGTACGACTCCACTATTGCTCACAGAGTACTTTGCCCAGTGGTGATTCTGCATGTCTGAACCCGGATGGGTAAATGATGGCCGGTGATTTTACAGGGCAGGGTGGGAGACAGAGGAGATATCACAGATATCACAGCTGGCATGTGACGTCATATCACACATGATCACAGCTGACACATGCACACTTTCTATCAAGGATCACTAAGTATTTTTTTCGCCCACAAAGTATACGTATATTCTGTGAAGCACTTTGAGACATCTCGAAGACGTGATACGGTGCTATATCAAATGGAAGGATTATTTTTTTCTCTCTACTCATCCTCACATTTTCTAAAATTGTATCTCTTCTGCAACAAGCTAGTTTAAGAACATAAGCAACAGGAGCAGGAGTAGGCCGTTCGGCCCCTCGAGCCTGCCCCGCCATTTAATAAGATCATGGCTGATCTTCTAACCTAATTCTATTTATCTGCTCTATCCCCATATCTCTTAATCCCTTTAGTTTTTAAAAAATCTATCGACCACAGTCTTGAATATGTTCAATGACTGAGCATCTGTCACAGCCTTCTGGGGTAGAGAAATCGATAAATTCACTACCCTCTGAGTGAAGAAATGTTTTCTCAACTAAGTTTCTAAAAGGTTAATCCTAAGACTATGACCCTAGTTTTAGATTTTCCAACCAGGGGAAACAGTCTCATACTATCTACCCTGTCAAGACCCTTAAGAATGTTATAGGTTTCTATAAGATCACCTCTAATTCTTCTATATTCTAGAGAATATAGGCCTAGTTTACTCAACCTATCCTCATAGGTCAATCCCCTCATCCCAGGAACCAACCTAGTGCCAATGTTGCATCCACTCTAAGGCGAGTATATCCTTTCTTAGATAAGGAGACCAAAACTGCACACAATATTCTTGGTGCGGTCTCACCAAGGCCGTATACAATTGCAGCAAGACTTCTCTACTCTTGTACTCTAACCCCTTTGCAATAAACGCTGCCATTAGCCTTTCTAATTGTTTGCTGTACCTGCATACTAACTTTTTGTGATTGGTGTACAAGGACACCTAAATCCCTCTGAATACTTACACTATCTAATCTCCACCCCTCTAGAAAATGATCTGCTTTTCTATTTTTTCTACCTAGGTGAATAACTTCACACTTCCCCACATTATACTCCATCTGCCACTTTCTTGCCCACTCACTAAACCTGTCTATGTCCCTTTGCACCCTTCTTGTGTCCTCCTCGCAGCTTACTTTCCCACCTAGCTTTATATCGTCCGTGTTTGTTACAGTACAGCCCTCGAAGTTTCTGAGAAAGGAACATAGTCATGTGTAAAAGGAAGATACATTTCATTTGTTCACTAGTAAGCACAAATCTTTGCCAAGTGTTCTGTTTTGAAATAATCAGTTTATAAAGTTGCATCTACATTCCACCCTTATTTCTCTTTTCTTTGGCCAAGGAAGCAAACCGACAGCAATCTGCGTTTGAATATGTCAATGTAGTTCTATAGGAATCATTCAATGTACCGTCAGATTTTCCCTTCACTTGGTATATTTTCCTTCCCCCACCCCAAAATTGGGAACTTACTGTGTGGGAACATGGTTTCGAGCCCAAGTCCTGCTCTGTGATGTAGCACATTAACACCAACTGATGTTAGTTATTCTTTCATATTGATATAAGTGGTATATCTGCGTCAATTATTTTATTGCAGTAGTATTTTTTCTTAACTGGTGCAAAAATGGCCAGGAACCAATAAACATAATTTCCTCTTCAATTTTAACTATGAAAGATGGGCTCCAGGTGCAATACACAAATATCTGGAAAATTATTTCTGCGTAAAACATTGTAGCTTTTAGATTTTCAAAATATTCTTGGAACTTTATTCAATTGTCATTAAGATACAGGAGCAGATTTTTAGATTGCTTTTGGCGCTGTACATATCTTGCTGGTCTCTCTAGGTTTATTTTGATTACATGCGGAGCTGGATTCAGATGCTGCAGCATTTACCTCAAGCATCTCACAGTCTGAAGAATCTGCTGGAAGTCGAATGGAATTTTACCAAAGAAATTACCCCCTGTATACGAGGAGGAGAGGCGCAAGCAGGAAAGCTCTTCTGGTAAGAGTTCAATAATGAGGTCGGTTAGATTAACCATTGTTAAAATGTGTCCAGAGCAGCCCGTGCCCATTAGATGTGAAAACCTGTGCATGGAAGGAATAAAAATAGAAAGCAAAGCTATTAATCCCCCCCCCCTCCCCCCCAACCCTTCTTGTTTAAAGAAATTGAAAACAGGAAAATATGGGGGAACTCATGGTGGGGTACATAATCTTAGCTGTCTGGCACTTCTTCCCCCCTCCCAAACTGGTATACGGCAGCACAACATGATCCTATAAGTATAGCAACTGAATTCCTATTTATGCACATTGCTCAAATTTGAGTTTATGAATAAAAACTTCACTGTCTAGAGTAAAACTGAGTCAAAGAGCCCAAAAAGTGTCTGGTTCAGGTCTGCGCTGAGTTAGCTAATCTTGGCCAGGGCAGTCATTGGGCCAATACAGTTGACATCAGTAGCCCTGAATTACAGAGGAACAAAGTCACCCAAGATTTACATTGTCCATTGACACTCAGCTAAAGTTTGGATTGTTTCCTTATGATGCCCACGGTAATAATAATAATATTCCTTACATTTGATGTAGCGCCTTATCGCGTTTTTGAGAATCTCAAAGCGCTTCACAGAAAATTCTGTAAAGTGAATTGACTGTATATCTTGTGGGTGAAACGCGACAGTCAATTGTGCACAGCAGTGTCCTACAAAACGTTGTGGATTGAGTGACCAATTATCAGGGGCAAATAATAATATTCCTTACAAATCAAATGTAAGTATTATTATTTGATATAATGCCTCATTATTTTATAATGTCTCAAAGTTCTTCAGAGTTTTTCTGTGCATTTGTAGGGAAATACCACAGCCAATTTGCACACAGCAATGTCCCCACAAGCAGTCAGTGATCATTTTTTATTTGGAGGATTTTTAGCTAGAACATCAAGAAAAGCTTTCTTCTCTTTCCGAATCGTACCATGGGATCTTTTAATATCCACCTGAACCAGGAGACAGGACCTTGGTTTAACTTGTCACCCAAAGGACGGCACCTCCAACAATGCTGCGTTTCCCAGCTCAAATTCCCAATTTGGTGTTTCAACCAACAGTCTCCTGACTAAAACAAGAGTGCTACCAACTGAGCCAGACCAGCATTACTGACATCCCGGTAATTCCTAATCAGTTACATTTGCAGTTCCAAATGTAACCTCATGTTTGATCTGTTGTTATATTCACTCCTAGTTCAGGATTTAGCTGAATTAAAGTGTCATGATGAACTTCCAAGTAAGTTTACAACCATTATAAAATGTTGTATCTTCCATTTCTCCAATTAGTGATATAGCAGGAATGCTGCTGAAGTCCACTGGAGAATTCTTAGACTCTGGCCTCCAAGAAAGCTGTGATTTGTTCTGGGCAAGCGCTGATGACAGTACTGCATCAGATGAGATCAGGTACTGCAGAGAGGTTCATCACAGTTCAATTATAAATTATTATAAACTATAACCTATTTTGGGGGAAGCTGAAGTTTGCCAGTAACAGGTTATCTCGTCTAGATTTAAAGATGTTTATTTTAAGGTTGCTTGAGTTGTTTATATATTATTTTACAATAACTGCAGACCTTGAACCAGTTACTCACAATTCCGATGAGCAGCTCAGTGCAAATTTATAATCTGGATCCGTGCCTGATGTTGAATCTCACCGACATAAAGTTATGCTTTTAGTGATACAGTTTTAATAATATTGATCAGGAAATATTTATAAAACACTTCTATCTTTTAATCTGTTGTAAATCAGATTTGTGTATAATTTGCAGTATTGCAGTGGTAATATTAAAGGTGCTTGGGATTTCCTGTGGGAAGCTATCTTGTTCCTGTGGCCTTATGGATTATTTTTTCAGTTGACGTTGGATAATGACCAACACAGAGTGTACGGTTTAAAATGGTTGTGTTTCAAGTTGCGTCAAAGACATAACCACATTTTAAATACACCATGTTCATAGCATGTGGTGAGTTCTCCGTCATAACAACAAGATTACATTTGTATAGCACCTTTCACGTCGGGAGGATGTCCCAAGGCGCTGGACAGAGTACAGCATTTCAGACCCGAGCTGGGGTTGGGGGGGGAAGGCGGGTGGCCGACGGCATGGTCGAAGAGGAGGGTCTTGAGACGGGACTTGAAGGAGGCTAAGGAGGGGGCGAGGCGGAGTGACTGGGGGATGGAATTCCAGAGGTTGGGGTCAGAGTGGCTGAAGGCTCTCCCGCCAATGGTGGGGGCGGGTGGGTCGGGGGACGTGGAGCAGGCCAGAGCCGGCTGAGCGGAGGGAACGGGCGGGTTGGTAGCGGGTTAGGAGGTCACAGCGGTAGGGTGGTGCGAGGCCATGGAGGGCTTTGTATGTGAAGACCAGGATCTTGAACTGGATCCTCTGAAGGATAGGGAGCCAGTGGAGTCGGGCGAGAGTGGGGGAGATGGGGTCATGGAGTTTGGTGCGGGAGAGGACACGGGCTGCAGAGTTCTGGATTATCTGCAGCCTGTGGAGGGAGGAGTTGGGAAGGACGACAAGCAGGGCGTTTGCATAGTCGAGCCTGGAGGTGATAAAGGCATGAACAAGAGTTTCAGCGGCCTGAGGGGTGAGGTAGTGGCAGAGTCAGGTGATGTTACGGAGGTGAGGGAAGGCAGAGCGGGTCATGGCTTGAATATGGGGGAGAAAAGACAGTTGAGGGTCGAACAAGACCCCCAGGTTCCTGACTGGGTTGGTGAGTTGTAGTGTGCAACCATGGAGGTTGATGCTGCCAGAGCCTGAGGTGCTGAGGCGCTGGTGTGAGCCAATCAGGAGGGCCTCAGTCTTGTTCACATTCAACTGTAGGAAATTTGCCCTCATCCAGGACTTGATGTCCGACAGGCAGTCTGTCAGGACAGCAGTGGGCCTGGAGTTGAGGATGGAGGCAGAAAGGTAGAGTTGGGTGTCATCCGCATACATGTGGAAGTTGACCCCATGTCTGCGGATGATGTCACCAAGGGGGAGCATGTAGATATTAAAGAGGAGAGGACTAATATGAATTACATATTATGTACATGCAATTACATATTATGTACATGCAATTAACATGGTCAAAGTCGCAAATGACATTCTGAACATCTGTGATCAAGGCTCCCTCTGCCTCCTTGACCTCCTCAACCTCTCTGCCGCCTTCGACACTGTCGACCACTGCATCCTCATACACCGACTCTCCTCTTTATTTAATCTTCGCGGACCTGCCCTTGCCTGGATCAAATCTTATCTCTCTCATCGACTCCACTTTGTTGCCTCTAACGGTTTCTCCTCCAGCCCCTGCACTGTCACATCTGGCGTCCCTGACAGATGTTCAGAATGTCATTTGTGACTTTGACCAGGGCTGTTTCCGTGCTGTGGGCAGCGCAGAAGCCGGATTGGAAGGGTTCAAAGAGGGAATGGCGAGAGAGAAAGGAGTGGAGCTGGGACACGATGACTCGTTCCATGTCCTTGGAGAGGAATGAGAGGTTAGAGATGGGACAGTAGCTGGAGAGAAGGGATGGGTCCAGGGAAGGTTTTTTTCAGGATGGGAGTGATGACAGCCGTTTTTAGGGGGGGGGGTGGAAATTGACCCGGTGGACAGGGAGAGGTTGATAACATCAGACAGGAGAGGGGCCAGAAGGTCGAGCTAGGAGATGAGGAGAGAGGTGAGGATGGGATTGAGGGAACAGGTGGTGGGTTTGAGTTTGCGAACAATCGGGGAGAGGGAAGAAGGAGAGATAGGGTCAAAGGAGTATGGGGGGATGGATGGGGGGTGGTTCATGAGGGAGAGGTGATGTGGGGGTGGCTGTGGATGGGGCTGAGGTGGCTGAATGTATTCCCTCGATTTTAGATTCGAGGAAGTCCAGTATCTCCTCACAGTTGGAGTTTGAGGAGAGGATGGGCGAGGTATGGGAAGGTCGACGGAGGAGACGGTTAGTGGTGGAAAAGAGAAACCGGGGGTTGTCCTTTGCCTCCAAGATAACCTTGGAGTAGAAGGAGGACTTGGCGGAGGCAAGAGCTCAGCGGTAGATGTTGGTGTGGTGAAGCCAAATCTGCCGATGGACCTTTAGTTTGGAATTGGTCCAGGCGCGTTCGGCAGCTCGCACTTGTTGCCTTGAGGGAACGGTGATGGCTGGTGTACCAGGGGAATTTATGGGAGTATGAGGCAGTTCGGGAGGTGAGGGGGGCAAGGGAGTCCAGAATTGAGGAGAGGGAGTTGTGGAGAAAGGAGAGTGAGGAGGGGAGATTGGTCAGTGAGGGCCAGAGGTGTAGGAGTTCAGATGACTCCAGGGCAGTGGAGAGGGAGGAAATTTTTTTCCTTGGACGGTATAACCAGTTTCATTGGGCAGTAGGGCACTGCATTCACATGAAGAAAGAAAATTCAGTACTTCTTTGCACATTCTGTTGTTCAGTTAGGGTGCTTTCTAAGACAGAAGTCCAAGGGCAGCACCTAACTTAAAGGGGCCAGGGTTAAAAGTATTATATTATTTTAAAAGCAAGGTGACTGATGATAACGGCGCCATGTTAATTGCATGCACATAATATGTAATTCATATTGTTCCAAATGGAACATGATACAATAACAACCAAGGCAAAGATTTTGCTTTAAAGTGATCAGTGAGATAGTTGTCTTTCTTTCCTTCAAACCCTCCCCCGCCCCACACACACACCCTCAGTTTTTTTAATGCATTTACTTGAGAACAATTATTGATGTGAAGCGAGGTCCTTTTTCAAAAGTGCTAGATCTGAAGAACTTGGGGAAGGAGGCGGTGCAGGTGGCTGGTTTTATCTCAAATTCTGACGTGAATTGTCGAGTACTTTTGACACAAAACTGAACTTGGGATTCATCTCTTCACAGACGATCAGTTATAGAGACAAGTCGCACACTAAAAGAGTTGTTCCACGAAGCTCGAGAGAGGGCATCTAAGGCTCTGGGGTTTGCTAAAATGCTGAGAAAGGTATTTGTGTTTCTGTGTGTGTGTGACCACATAACATTCTATTGCTACACAAAGGATTATTGACCTGATTTGTAAAATAAAACTGTCTTTTTCATCTTATTTAGGATCTAGAAATAGCAGCTGAGTTTACTTTGTCAGTTCCTGTCCCAGACATGTTGGAAGCTCTTAAAACAAAACAATACGTCAAGGTAATGTTTCTGTTTATAAATGTTTACACCAATTTCTGTACTGGAACGCATTGTGTCAATGTTTACGTTCCCAGCAAATACAATACATGTTGCGTTTATGGGATAATAGCAAGCAGGAGCTTCCTGAGCTTACACTTGATCACAAGAAATGTTCAAATGAAGACAACCTTTTGCTCTTATTGATTTCATCTTTCCAAAATACCAGTCTGATAGTGCCAAGAAATGCATTCACAACCATTAGATGGATAGTTTCTGGGTTCAGTCTGATATTTATTGGGTTGTCCAACGTGCATTTGTATTTGAGCGTAGAGTTGCTTTATGGTGGTACGTTGTGCGCTTATATTTAATAACTGCTCAGTGTATTCTGAGTTAATTTAGTCTCAATGTCTCCCAAATTCATCACAAGTAATTGCCAGGAATAGCAAAGTTATATTTAATCAAATAGATAACAGGTATTTAAACTTGCGGTGGCATAATGTTGTATTCTGACCACCACTATCTTGTCTATTTAGGGTGTCAAATTAAAGTTAGTTACATTTCCAAACGTAGAGTACGTTGATGTAATCGTTGCATTTGGTATAGTGCCTTGCAATGTAGGAAGCGCTTCACAAGATTTACTGTGAATTGGTGCAACTGGATATTTGTGGGCAAACCTGGCAACACAGTTGCACATAAATGTTGTAGGGTTGATCCCCAGTCTGTGCTTAGTTAGCTAATTGGAGCTGGGGTGGTAATTGGAGACACTGTTATTGATCTCTCTAATGTCAGAGAGAGGAATAGTAGCCAATGTTGCTGAAACTAACTGCCCAGCAAATCCTGCTGAGGGGAGGTACTGTGGGACACATTATACATTATAAGGGGTCTATACTGTGTTTGCTTTTTATCAGGTGGGTGCTGGTAGCGCAGGCACATTATTTAGCTGCACCATCTTGCCCTTTCAGGTTCAGATTCCTGGACTGGACGACCTGCATATTTTTGTTGCAGTTGATCTTGCGGAACAAAAGCCTCAGATCCTCCAGCTGCTCAATGCAACAGCTGGAAAGGATTGCTCCAAGGAATCTGATGAATCTGTGGATGAAGCCTATTTACTCCTCATCAAAGATGGCCTTAAGGACAGAGAGCAGGAGATGAGTTGGGGAATGTGGGAAGGTGAAACCATCAAAGTACTGCCCCAGGAAGAAACTGTGGCCACCTTGAGAAGCATGCAGGTATGTGGGGTGAAATTAAGCAGGTTATGATTTGCCTGCAGACAATACAGATATAAAGTACTGGACTATTCGGTTTTATACATGGAGTTTATGTAATATACAGAAGAATGTTTAGTTTAATTCATGAGAGAATGAATTATAAAAGTAATGTTCACACATAGAATATTTTTCTATTATCTATTACATGTTCTATTAATAGTGCACGTTAAATACACACAGAATGATTCTCAGGTGAGTGCAGTGTAGCCACAGTGAGAGACTGATCTTTCGCTTACGTGAGTAAAGATCAAGTAGCTCACAACTAACTGAGGCTGAAGAGCCTTAATTCAAGCATAAATATGTCATCAAAATCTTCTAAATAACTTTACTTCTCTTTAGATTAAAAACTTATTACTGGTAGTCGTGCACTCTTCACATCTTGTGAATCAGCGCAAGACATTTCAGCAGTCCATTGAAACCCTGATATCTCTGCGGCGTGAACAGACATCCAGCCAGCCTGTCATAGCCAAAGCCCTGGAGCAGCTGAAGGTACATTACACAGTTCTGACTCAAAGAATAGTAAAGCAGCAGTATAGTAAGAGGCCATTTGGTCCATTACGATTATACTGATGCCAGCTATTTAACCTAATCCTAATTCCCTGTGTTTTCCCCCTACTCTTTTTATATTGTTTCTTGTCAATAATCACCCAATTCTCCTGGATATGTTCTGGTCTTAGTTTCAATAGTCACTAATGATAAAGCAGTCCATGTTATAATAACTGCATGATTTTAAAAAAAAATTCTGCCTTAATTCTTCTAGTTGATAATCTTATCCTCTTTTTACCAATTCACTTACTCACAGCAATAATCTTTTCACTCTTGTCTTCTCAAAATTTATGATTTTGTTTTCCAAGTTATAATCTTTGAGCAATAATAAAGCTTCCTGTTGATCAGTTTTTTGACGAACAGATTTTCAAAATTGTAGGTTCCTTCTGTAAGGAAGTATAACTGACATTGTATACAAATAATTATGTTATCGTCAGGGGAGGGATTTGTCTTTTGACTATTGAAGGTCATGAAGAGAAGTAAATCCCAAACTGATATAGACCTGAAACTCCACTAATAATACAGTTTAAACATTAGTTTTGTTTGAGGTGGTTGAGTTTCCTGTAGAATTATTTGAAGCTAAATCGTGCTGTTTATTATTTAATGCATTTTGATGTGTTTGATATTATAAATTGGAAAAAGACAATAGGAAATACAAATATTCTGTTTTTGGCTTCTGCGTTTGCTCCTTTACCTTCGCAGTTTTGAATTTAATTTCCTGTAGGATACACATGCTCAGGCAGGAGGAGTTTTAATGCATTATTTCTGTTTAAGAGCCAATAAAAGTTTAATTATTAAAATAATATGGAACAATGCATATCACAGTCTAGGCCAACACAATGATGTTGCATTCTTGAAGGTGCCATCCGTTGGATTAACTTTAAACCATAATCCCCATGTCTGCCTGTTAAGGTGGACTTTAAAGATCCCAAGGACTATTCAAAAAGAGAAGCGAGTTTCTCCCCATGTGCTAGCCATTAATCCAGATAAATTGGTCATTCACTGCATGGCTGTTTGTGGGGCATTGCTATATGCAAATTGGCTTTTGAATTCGCTTCCAAATATGCAATCGGTACATTCTTCATCATTTGCCTTTGAACTGCTTTGAAGCATTCTGAGCGCTATGTGAAATGCAAGTATTTTTATTATAATACATCTGACTGACTATTTCCATTTTAATTTTCAGCATGAAGCATTATTGCTGTGCAATAAGATTAGTAATGCAATAAATCGGATTGACAAGATGTTTAATTCTGAGTTTGAAGCTGAGGTCGATGAGTCTGAATGTGCGACCTTACAACAGTACTACAGGGAGACCATGATTGAAAGCTATAACTTTGGTTTTGAGGTAATGTACCCACTGCTGTGCTTTATATAAAATAGGCTAAGATTAGTAAGAAATCCAATGTGCCAAAGAGCCTTTACGTCAAATACTAAAAGGGTTACTAAGTTATTTTAATAGTTGCCTGCAGCAATTGTACAGCATGGTTAAGCAGTCTAAGGAAAAGTAATACAAACTCTTGTTTTAAAATTCTTTTAGTAACATTAGGATATTTACATACTTTTTCTTAAAAAAAAATCGCTCCCTCGTTTGCCTCAAATTGTAATTGTCACCCTACCACCTGCTGCCTCAGCTAGAAAGGCCAGGTTGTTATGTGGAGAAAGTATTTTTTTTAGAACTACTATCAGTATTGCTTCATAATTGTTTGGCAGGTGTCCCAGTTTGAACTGGAAGAGCAGGCTTGTAGCACTTTGGAATTAATTTATTTCATGCTCCAAAGAGTAGCCTTGTCTGAGAACGGATCAAATCCCTCCCTCAGAGTTTGGTGTGTTCGAGTGTCTTAGCTCTTGAAGCCATAAACTTCTCATCATGTGGCAAGTGGTCTTTCCACTTCCATTACTTAGGCTGCTCTAGTCAATTTTCTTTAAAATTAAAGCTTTATACATATATTTTAAAAGTCCTTTAAATCTAGTGTTAATGTTGCTATGATTTAGTTGTTTTGGCACTCATTGCTGGCGTCAGGTCAGGTGGAGCCCAGTAAGATACTCTTTGTACTCTGCCCCCTACCGTGTACTTTAACTCGACTTCAGAAGAGCATCTCCTGAATCAATATGACATTTCCATTTCCAGCACTATCTGTGTTCTGAGGAAGATTGACAAATTGAGGCCAAGTTACTTGTATTCTTGTGCTGTGGGCTTATGGCCAGTTAGACCTGAATTAAGACTGAGTCTCCCAGCTCAAAAAAGGATACACCCATCAATCCAGGCTGAATTTGAACTTAATTCCCTAATGTTTTCAGTGCATTAACTTTGGATTCTTTGCTTTTTGTTTTTCTACTGAGTATATTTTAAACAAAGTGTTAGATGACGTTTGAGCTCTCTTTGTTATAAACACTAGCTTTGTGTTAGCAATTGTAGAAAATTATTAATATTTGAGAAGAAGGCTACAGATATACAAGTTTGTAAAAAAAATTGTTTGTGCATGCTTGCCTGCATTTTTTTATTCCAGTATCACAAAGAGCTTGTTCGTCTGATGTCTGGAGAGTTTAGGCAGAAGACTGGTGACAAATTTATCAGTTTTGCCAGAAAATGGATGACCTACGTTCTTACAAAATGTGAAAGCGGGAGAGGTACAAGACCCAGGTTAGAAAGGATGTTCTTTTAATATAGGATCCTCTTTCCCTCAGCCAGTTATCTTTTTAATTTCTCTGCATCAGAAGGTTATGGGTTTAATCCCCACATCAAAACTTGATCTCGTACTCTTGACTGACACTCCAGTACATGAGCCGTGAGTTTTGGGATATGCCATCCGTCAGGTGAAATGTTAAACTGATATCCGTCTGCCTGTTTTCGGGTGAACATTAAGGTCTCGTGGCATTATTTCAAAGGAAAGAGAGTTTCTCTGAGTGTCTTGTCCTCCAGATTAATTGGTCATTCACCTCATGGCTATTTGTGTAGTGCACAAAATGGCTGGGTAGTTGACCACAAAACCTGCCACTATAATACTGTATATAACACTTTAATTACTTGATGGTAATTACTGTAAATTGCTTTGAGTTGCTTTGCGATAAGGATCTTTCTTGCTTCTAATGTGTCTCATTGCAGGTGGGCAACCCAGGGTTTTGATTTTCTTCAGGCAATTGAACCGGCATTTATATCAGCTCTTCCAGAAGATGACTTCCTGGTAATGTCTTGAGATTTGTTTCTGATGTGATTTTTCATGTTAATATTCTGTCTTCAATTTGATTGAATTTCTGTTGATGTATCACTAGAAGGAAAAGGGTGGCTTGAAGAATTTGTTTTCACAGAGGGTTGTTGGAGTGTGGAATGCTTTAACACAAATAGCTGTTGAGTCCAACTGAGTATTTAAGAGGCAATTGAATAAATGCGTGAGGAAAAATTATAGTAAAGGGTAAAAGGAAAGAGCCGGGCAATAGGATTAGGAGATGGCTGTGGTCGGGGAAAAGCACGACACATGAGACGAATGACCTCCTGCATTACTGCAGTATACCTCCTATCTAATTTGCACACCATGGCTAAATGTCTCGATCATGTTTTATCAAACTTACTTTACTGAAACAAATGCTCCGGGCAAAGCTCCCGCGCACCATTAACACTATTATTACTCTTCTTGCGCAACTACATGAACGTAAAATAATTTGTGCTATTTTTCAGTTCACAAATAGTTGTCTTGTGTATTGTTCACTGGGGTATATACTGTCCTGTGCTCCATTTCATTGCATTGCTGTCTTTCAAGTGATTAAGTTGAAAAGTCAGAACTTTATTCTCGGAACTGTAGAGTTTTGTTTAGGAGTTTATTTTTCTCTTTTGCAGAGTTTGCAGTCTCTGATGAATGAGTGCATTGGTCATGTGATAGGCAAGCCTCATAGCCCTATTACAGGTTGGTGTTGTATAATCACTGCGATTTTTCCATTAACAATAATTTTGTGTATTATTAAACTACATCATTCTTTTTTGTATTTAGATGTTATTGCACCATTTCATTGTAAGTTGCTTTTGGATGACACAGTAGTATATATCAACATGTTTTCACCACTGTGCCCATCCATTTATTCCCTTATCAATGCTGTTTACCTATGCTTGGACTTAAATAAAAAGATGGGCTTGCCATCGGGTTGGCACAAGGCAAGGCATTAGCGATGAGCATTTTGTTTACATTTTCATCCTGTTACGTGGAAAACCTAACTCTTTTCTGCCATGGTGCCTGCCAATTGCATGTAATGTTAGTCCTTGTGCTTCACAGCAGTAGTTCTGGTTGGGAAAGCAGTGTTTCTCTCGTAGATTTCCTGAGCATTTACTACTGATGACATTAATGGCTCAGCCATGGCTTTATAGTAATATTAATATTATTTCCAGGGATTCATCGAAACAGTCCTCGTCCCATCAAAGTGCCTCGATGCCACAGTGACCCACCAAATCCACATCTCATCATTCCTACGCCAGAGGGGTTCAGGTAGAGTACTCCATGCAGTCTTAACATTGGGACAACTTGAAGCAGGCTAGGAAATCTCTCTCGTACCTGTCAGAGTATGCTTTGCAGCTTCAGATATTAATAATCGTAAACCTAATGGCTTGATGCATTGGTTCCACTCTGGGATCTTAAATTCAGTGGTGACATTCAGCATTAAAGAAGGGAGAAAAGAAGGTGACTAAATTAATACATGGGTTTGGGCATTCAAGTGATGAAGACTGATTGCAGAAGCTAGAAATGTTTACATTGGAAATGTGAAGCTTGAGAGATAATCTAGTTAAAGTCTTCCAGATATTAAAGAGTATGAACAACTAGACTCTCAATACCTTTATTCAATATCTTTACCCACAGCAAGGGACCATGATCTCCAACTCAAAAGGGGCTGATGAACAGACAGGTCAGATTTAGCTACTATAGTCGAGATTAGTTCAAAGTGAAACAATTTTCCCAGGGCAGGGTCAGAGTTGATGATATGGGCTACTTCAAGAGGGATATTTGCTTTTTGATGGTGAAAGGGAATGGGGTGAGGGGCTGCATGAGACAGGGAGGGATGGTATTTGAAAATATAACCAGGCAGGTGGTCTTTTCTGATCCTGCACATTCCTATGTTTCTATAAAGCTCACACCAAGCTAAAGAAGTGAAGATTCATCAGTAATGCCATCTTCAGTTTATGATTATTAATAGTAATCCTTGCATTTGATATAGCACTTTATTAACATGTTATTGAAACATCTCAAAACACTACTGTAAAGTCTTGTGACTGTGTGTACACTTATTAATGCAAATAGTAATAATTATCCTTACATTTGAAATGGCGCCTTTCACATCAGAAGGATGTCTCAAAGCGAAAAAGGAAGCACCAACAGTACCAAGATTATCAGAGACAAAAAATAAGTAAAGTGGGAAAAAATACTATAGAAGTTGTAAAAAAAATTGAGGAAAGGGAGAGAAAAGCTAAAGAGAACGTAAATATAGAATAATATGAAAAGGACTAGGTTTAGGGGAAAAAATTGGGCTTAAAAAATAATTGAACAGGGAAAAAGTAGATGGGCAACAGGCAAGTCAGTTTCAGTTTAAATGTAGTGTGAGGGCTTACCAACTTGCAGTTATGTAGGGCCCTAATGTAGAGTAACATAACCATCTTGAAGCACTTGACAGAATGGTGAAGGACACCGAGGCGGGAGGTGAACATAGGCGTGGTCAAGAGGTAGGTTTATACAGCTTTTGAAGATACATGGGGAGGGGTGGGAGGGCAAGACAGAGGGAATGAGCTTCGAACCACTGCCTGTTATTTTATACACTGGTGGACATTTCTGACCTGTCAGAAGTAAATATTCCTAACGGTGATGAAATACTCTGTCAACCGTTGGAATAACTGAGAACAGTTCTGGTACATGGATCATTAGACAGCACTGCAGAGATTGACACCTTACACCAAAACACTTAACACATGATGAGAAGCAACATGACGGAGCTCCAGTGCATCAAATAGGTTATGCATTGCTGTATACTTTAAAATGATCTCTTTTGGAAAGTGTGGTGCATAAACCTTTAACCAAGTTTCTAATTAATATCCTTTTCCCCTCTCCTTCGCCCCTTGTTTTCCCCTTCCCACATGGTTTTCATGCCCCATTTCCTGTCATGTGATTTGCTTCTAGCTCTCTGCTAATGTTTCTGTCGAGCAGGCAGTGAGGATGTGGGGAAGAAGGAGGTGGGGTGGGTAAATAAACAACCTTTGAAATCTAAACCCTCACCACCACTAACGCAGTGTCTGAGCAGTTCTGTCCAACAGCAAGGAAAAAGCAGGAATTTTTTCTAAAAATATAGCTGTGAGTTTTCCTCTGTCGCTAATATTGAGCACAATGTAATATGGAGTATGAAATATTTTTAAATTGCTCTAAAATATGTTCCCTAGTTTTTGCTTAAAAAAAACATTTCTGTAGAGAATATATAATAGTATATAATTTTAAATCGTATCATTCCATTCCTTGCTCCAAGCAAGATTGTTGTGTTAATCAATTGCTTGCACATATTGTTCTTTTTATGAAAACTCATATTTACAGTCCGCTGCTCCCACGTGTTTTGGAATTGTTTTCTGAGTGTCTCTTCCTCTCACAGCCCCAGGAGTCTTGGCTCTGAAGTCCGGAACCAAAGTGTCGCTGCTGTCATTCGCACCACTCCTATAGTCGGGATTGACCTTAATCACACCAAGCCGACAAACAGTGCAACTGAAATGAGGTTAGCTACACTTGAAAGTGTGAACTCATGCTCATTGTGAAGTTGACATCTGTTGGCTTTTTCTTTATATAAATATATATCAATCAGTTGGTTGGGAGAGGGATGAAAGAATGTTATCATATAATAATGATTGATTAATTAATAATAATTGTTAATAATAACACTAATCCTTACACTTGATATAGTACCTTTCACGTCAGGAAGATTTACCAAAGCACTTCAGGATAGATATACCGTCGGTGTTTGTAAAATGGAGTGACTACATATAGGTCCACGTTAAATACTTTGTTCCCATTTAAATATAAATTTCAATGAAGTAAATACTAATTGGATAGAACATGAGCAAACTGACCCACTGGAGGTATCAGTATAGATTTGAGTGAAATTTACTTTTGAGTTTGCATTATTGATCCAATGCCCCTAGGTGACCTGAATCCTGAAAGTTCAGCTATATTTGATTGAGTTGATCTGAATAATAAGCTCTGCTGTCCCTCCTTTTAGGTTAAGTGAAGTTCAGCAGTTACTGCTGCTGTGACTTTGTGATTCACGTGGATGCTAATACAATGTGGTGCTATGAATTATAGTTAAAGTGAGTTTAAAGTTGAGTGCATGCTGTAGTGCACAGTTGCTAGGGAAGATTTGAATGGTCGTGTGCTGATCCTGAGGTTGCATTGCGTGTTCACGTGGAGAGAAATGCGGGTTTGACTGGATCTCAGAATGAAAGAATTTAGTATATAGTGGCTGTAACTTTGTAATTATATATATATTATATATATATATAAAAAGGTTTGAGGAAAATGTAGGGAATGGGATTGGAGTCATTCCAGTTTCGGAGCTAGCACCAACATTATGAACCAAATGGTCTCTTGTTTTACAAGATGGGTCTGTAATAAGAAATGAAAACATTAGTAAGCAGGGACATTGAGTTCATTTAGAAGATGGCAACTGGCCTTTATGCTGAGCATTGTGGCTTTGTACGTCTCATGAATAAATAAGGACAAAAAATTGGTCAATTTTGGTTAAGAAATCGGAACGGGAATTCCTTGTGGTGTTGCTGGAAGTAATAATAATTCTTACATCTGGTAATCTTTTTACATGTCGCGAGGATGTCAAAAGATGCTTCACAGAATTTACTGTAAAGTGCTGTGTGTTTTGTGAGTGAACAAGGCCGCTAATCTGCACAAAACAATGCCCCTCAAACAGCCATAAAGTGAATGACCAATTTTATTGTTGGCCAGGATAGTGGGAGAAACTCGTTTCTCTTTTCGAATTGTGCCATGGGACCTTTAACGGTTCACTTAAACATGCAGATGGGGCCCCGGTTTAACATTTCAACAGAAAGGACGCCAATTCCAACAATGCAGCACTCACTCCCCCAGCACTGCATTGGAATGTCACCCTAGAAAATATGGGCTCCAAGTAATGAAGTGGGGCTAGAATCTACAATCTTCTGACTCAGAGACGAGAGTGCTACCAACTGAACCAGACTGAAACCTACTTCTGCATTCCTATGTCATGATGCTCATCTGGGTAAAAGATTAAATGAAGGATTGGTAGCAGTCTTGTAATTTCAATCTTGTAATTTCAAAGACTCATAACTCACAAGTGCCATTGGGGTAGGAGAGTTCTGGAAACTTTTCTGAAAAAAGGCACAATAGAAATCTCTAGACACTCTCATTGAGATCTCCCTTAGGGGTGGTATTGGGCGTTCAAAAGTATTGTTTAAAGTTTGGGAGTTTCAGTGATCTTTCTTAAAAATTTTACTTTTTATTTTCCTGATGTTGACCGTCCCCTTTTCCCAAAACTGAAAATAATACCAACCCAGAAGGTACTGCCAGCAAGCTACTGTATTTGAAGCAAATGTTTGCAGCACAAGAATGTGGTTTTGAAAGCTGTGTGGAACATTTAGTCCTCCAAAGGCTTTGCAGGATAAACATACCATTCATTCAATTACTTAATGGCCACCTAATTGGAGTTCCACAAATTGTACTTTGCTTTGGGCATGTAAGGTATATGAGTTCTCTATCACAAGGCAGCCCTGTGGCAGAACCAACAGATGTGTCTATCTTGAGCTGACATTCCAACCTTCTCACTGCAAGTATTGTCACAGAAGTCACGTTTGAATCATGGAGAAGTGTTAATGTGTTTTGCGACAGGGAGTGTTTGTAACTTTCCCTTTTTTTCTCTTGGAAAATTCATGGTAGAAGGAGGAGGGGAACAAGCAAATTAACCAGCAAAAAATTGTTAAAGCAGTACGTTTCCTCGACGGCCTCAAGACCCGATGTGGGTCTTGAACCCACAACCTTCTAGCTCACAGGCAAGAGTGCTACCAACTGAACCAGGCTAATGTATCCTGTGAAAAGGAAAGGGAGATGGATGCTTTCAGGAAAGGGGAATAATTAATAATAATTCTTACATTTGTGGCAGAGGAAAAAGATTAGCTGCAGTAAGTGATTAAAGTACATTTCTATGCTGTGGTATGTGAGGGAATGATTTTCATGTGAGTTTCTCTCTTGAAAAAGGGGTTCGAGTGTCCCTGAAAATGACCGTTTAGCATCCATAGCAGCCGAGCTCCAGTTCAAGTCACTGAGTCGGCACTCCAGTCCCACTGAAGAGCGTGAGGGTAAGGACATTGTGTGGCAATTTAGTTGCACTCTCTTTAAGATCCATTCTTTCCAAGTGCCATAAATTCCCATTAAGTTTTTGCTTTCACCACAGAATTCACTGCATTTTTTATTGCTTTTCCTGCTCCCAAACCAGAACCTACATATCCAAAAGGAGATCCAAGCCTTAGTGCCCGACGAAGTTGGGAACTCCGCACTCTGCTCAGTCAGTCTAAAGGTAATGGGGACATTTTGATGGTTGTACTTCATAAAGGTACTTTTCATTGTGAAGCAACACTGCAATATATGTTCACAGATCAACGATTTGTGATTCTAAGCACTGTTACATGCAAATACAAGGATTATTATACTATTACACATCAATTACAAATCTACCCAGTGGGCTGGAAATTCTTTATTGTACGGTTTTGTTCTGAGTAAAAAAGTAAAAATGAACTTTTTTTTAAATCACTAGATATTGCTGCCAAGCAGAATCGATTGGAGATTGTCCGCAAGTCCATTAAATCTTTCGAGGAGCAAAGGAACTGGCAGATGAAACAAAAAAATATAATCGGTCAAGTCTGTGATATCCCCAAATCTTATGATAATGTCATGCAAGTCGGATTAAGAAAAGTGACATTTAAATGGCAGAGAGGAAACAAAATAGGTAATGTTGGATATATGAAGAAAAATAATTAGTGTTTGTTTAATACGTTTAGCTGTTGGGCAGAATAATGTTACAAGGCTAGCTTTCCAATTCTTAATTCTTAATTCTTAAAAAATGACTGATTATGTCTGCCTACGTATTCCATCTCCTGAGGTTGGAATTGTACATCACTAATATAAAATAATAATTCTAGAAGCAAAACTAGATGGTCACTCACGGGTGACAAATCAGAAAATTTACTTAATCTGCTTCAGAATCCAATTGATGAGTCTTAAATTTTATTTAGCGCTTTCACTGTCATTACCTTGGGGTTTCATTTTACAATGACAATGTCATAGAATAACAATTGATTTTGGCTGGAATACCAGTTGTTCACAAATATTTTTTTTCTCTCAGAACTTTCCCGTCAATGTATTGTTCCAGCCAAAGGTTGGCTGTAGATTTTGAAGTGAAAATTGAGCATTGCGCTATCGAATTTGAAGAATTAATCCTTTGAAAACAAATTGTGATTACCAATGTGAAGAATCATGCTTTCAGTTAGGCATCTCCATTAACTTGAATATGGACAGAATCTTATTCTCTGGTTGGAACTAGAGGCAACTGTGCTTAATTAGCTCAATCCACTTGAAGCAAGTTTAGACTGCCCCTCACTCAGCATTATCCACCTGTGATGACTTCTTCTGTTTTTTTCAGGTGAAGGACAGTATGGGAAAGTTTACACGTGTATAAATGTGGATACTGGTGAATTAATGGCAATGAAGGAAGTAAGTTTCTGATTGTCACTGGGTAAATATATTTAATAAATATTGGATAACAACAACTTACATTTATGTTGTGCCTTTCACGCGGGACAGCATGCCGGAGTGCTTGAAATACAAGGACATCTGCAAAATTCTAATGTTTGAAACAGAAGTTTTGGTCTGATTGTTTGGAAATATGCTGGGATTTCTCAGCTCGACTCTGCATTTTTCATTTAACCCTACATTTGTGTGTTTTGCAATTCCTTAACAAACAGGATTAGTAGATTGGCATGGTGGACTGGATGGGATATTCCCTCTGGTGAAAACAGAAATATTGTAACTAGAGTAAAAGTTTCAAACTCGTGATTATTGAAATTGAAACCATCTAACACCAAAGTGACACTTCTCAATGTCTTTAGATCAGATTTCAGCCGAATGATCATAAAACCATCAAGGAGACAGCAGATGAATTGAAAATCTTTGAAGGTATCAAACATCCAAACCTGGTGAGGTATTTTGGGGTAGAACTCCACAGGGTAAGTGGTATTTAACTCTTCAATCATACAGCAGAAACGGTTAAAAAATATATATATTCAAAAAACTGTTGTTTGTTAGGTTTTGGCAATACTTGCAGCAAAGCCTCGAGACATTGTAATTTGAAATGTATCTTCCACTGTTGGAATTTGTTTGAACCTGTGCCAAGTAATTTGATTCAACTGAATTTCTCTTTGTGCATTGTCATATCAGATCTCTGCTGTGGGAGCTGTGTGACCTCAGTGCCCTCAAGCTATGGAAGGAAAAAACGGGCAAATGTTTTCATTTTTGACTCCTGCCCAGTGATAAAACACGCATGTGTATACACACATACAACCACACGCATGTGCATTGCAGCGACAACAACAAGAAGATTACATTTGTATAGCGCCTTTCACATCGGGAGGACGTCCCAAGGAAGTCCCAATTGCACATACATGTTCAAGCACACAAATACACATGCCCTTGCAGGACGTATGCTCATGTGGATGTTGGGCGAGGATAAAATCTGTCTCTGGGATTTCCATGTGTAGGTGGGATACATGGAAATCTCAGCTTGGTTTGGATACTCGTAAGCTGGGTTTCGATGGGTTTCCGCACGTGTAAGACACCCAGCTGAGCAAAAAAAAAACTGGATGTGCACCCTAATCCCTTTAATGATTTTTGAAAGTTGGGAAGGTATAGAAGCACAAGGCTGTAACACTAACAGTCGCTGTAAACAGGTAGTAATGATATCCTGAATTGTCTTTTATTTGTGTTAATATTGCAAATAACAGATGTCACTTTAAACTGAATAAGTAACTAAATGCTTCTAATGATAATGAGTGAGCTACAGCAGCTGTTACTGTATCCATATTTTCTGCATATTACCTTGTAAGTAGCCCAGCCACACCCTTTCGACAAATATGAACCTTTCCAGTTTAAATTTCCAACGCCATCATGATTGCATAAATATTTCTTACTAAATTTAGGTGCAATTAACCCAGAGAACAAGTTCCAGACGACCTCAATGTATTTAAGTAGCCATCAACTAGCTCCTAACTAGTGAAAGACCGATGCAATCTTCTATAATAGGGGATGAATACATTAGATTAAAAATAGTTACAGCTGTACTGTCCCATTTCAACACCCTGACTCCTCCTAAAAATACTTACCATATAAGACTGCATGCACTTATTAGTATATTTCCAATCTAATAATAGTTACCTTATTATCATTAATCTTATATTCTGCGACCATAGCAGCCTCTTTACCTTTAGCCCTAAATGGTAGCTGCACCCAACTTAAGCTGCAGTATTGGGTGGGAGAAGGAAGGAGAATTTAAAGCCAGGACGTATGTATATATTACTTAGGATAGATACTGAGATAAATAACTATTATGTGTTCTTTGGGGGTTAACATTTTTTAATTCTCAGCAGTAGTCTGGTTGTAGAATGCAGTCTGACAATGTTTCCAATTTGCTTGGCACGCTGGTTCTCTTATCTCTGTGACTGTGCCTCAAGAACTTGCTTACTCCACATGTCCTGTTCGCAGGGTTTGTGTGTGTGTGTTCAGCACCTGGTGTCTTCAGTTTTGATCAGGACAAACCTGGATTGTGTGAAGAAGGCTTTTAACACATTCGCTTTAAGAGCTTGCAGCGGTGTTTTCCCCTCCTCGTATCTTGGAGCAATAATGCCAGTCTCTACGATCATATGTTGACTGGTGCTCATTGCAGCCTCACAATCACTGTCTTCTCTGCTGTAATGTGAAGGCCTGTAGCTTAGTGTTTAGATCACTCGCCTCAAAAGCGTTTGATTCCCGGACAGGGCAAAACATTGGGCAAGTTTCCTTACTCCACACGCCTCTTGTTTACCTAGCAGTAAGTAGGAACCCATTTATTACTCGATTAGCGGATCACTTTTCCGGGGGTAATAATCTCTTCAAAATAAATAAATAGTAATAAATTTGGTCACTCAATCCATGACTGCTTGTGGGACACTGCTTTGCGCAAATGGCTTCCGCATTTCACCCACAAAATACACAATCAATTCACTCTACAGTATATTTTGTGAAGTGCTTTGAGACGTCTCGAAAATGTGATAAGGGTCTATATGAAATGCAAGGATTATTGTTATTGTTGTCAAGCACTTAAAAAAAACATTCTTTAAGTGAAAGATGTTGTATATAAATGCATGTTATCGTAATGACTCCTATTAAAATACAAGTTTAGTTAGATGGTAATGTTCGTTTTCTTTTCTATTCTTCCCCCCACCCCCCCGGCCTATTTGTTATAACAGATAAATTGATAGCTTATCTGTTCTGTTGTCATTTAATAGTTTCTGGCTTGTTATTAAGCTGAGCAGTTATCTGCATTCTTTCCATTCAAGTTGTCAGAAATGTTCAGTAGCTGTTTGCTGTCGATAGATTCCCCAAATACGACATCTGTGCAGTCAGAGCCCTCTGTGTGGAGAGTCTCATTCAGGCTCTTTTTGATTCCCAAAATATGTAGTCTGGAGAAATGTTCCAAATTGTTCCTTTTTAACTGTCTTTCTGTGGGTGAGCAACCCTGCGTGAGTGGCGCTACATAAATGCAAGTTGTTGCTGAGACCATTAGCAAGTGAGAGAAACCTGTGTACGATTCCCAGGCAGGCGAAATGTTGGGCAAGTTTCCTTTGTTTACTTAGCAGTGAGTAGGAACGTGGTTGCTAGTTGATTGGCAGATCGCTTTTCCGGATAATAATTATAAATTGGTCACTTTCAATTCACGACTGTTTGTGGGACGTTGCTGTGCGCAATTGGCTGACTTGCATTTCCTACCACAAAATGTACAGTCAATTTTACAGTATATTCTGGGAAGCGCTTTGATACGTCTCAAAGACGTGATAAGGTGCTATATCAAATACAAGAATTATTTAAGGTGTTCTGCCCGTCCTCCCAGATATGGTTTTCATTTTAGTTTCAATGTTTGTATTATGAGCAAATGTTTGATAATATTGTACAAATCCACGTCTGTTATAAGTATACAATGCTGTCTGGCAGTCTTACTTAACAAACATGTTTATCTTTAAAACAGGAAGAAATGTACATCTTCATGGAGTATTGTGATGAAGGTACACTGGAAGAGGTAGCAAGGTTGGGCCTGCAAGAGCACGTGATTCGATTGTACACCAAACAGATCATCACTGCTATCAATGTACTACATGAACATGGGATCGTGCACAGAGATATTAAGGGTAAACATTTGCCGGGCTAAGGTTGTATGCTGTTAAGTCTATTTACTGTTAAGACGGGCTTTCACCTTGCATTGAATGAGGATGTGATCGCCCTGCCGTCAAACAGCTGGGGAAGTCCAGTGTGGTATTAGCTCACCTGTTCACCTGCTAAAAGATGTGTATTGGGTTTGTCCTTTGGAGTCGCTCTGTGTCCATTTTAAATTTCAGGATATAAAAGAAAGTTGCTTACAGAGGCCAATGACCACCCTACCCTGCTGTCAGTTACTTTAGAACAAAGCCACAGCCTCTTAATAGGAACCTCCCTGGCTTTCCTACCTGCTCTACATGCGCTACATCACTTTCTGGGGGTAATAATCCCTTAAAAATATAACAATAATAATTTGGTTACTTCAATCCATAACTGTTGTGGGACACTGCTATGCACAATTGGCTGCTGCATTTCGCCCACAAACTAGAGTCAATTCACTTTACAGTTTTTGTGAAGCGCTTTGAGACGTCTCGAAGATGTGATAGGCGCTATATCAAATGCAAGGATTGTTATTATTATTTGGCTTTGGCTTGGTTGAATCACGTCTTAAAATTGCATGGACACAGTTTGCCTGTGCAGTAGAAGGAGTTCCCAATTCAGTGTGTCAGACCGAGAGGCGGTTCTGTTAAATGTTCTTATCAATTAGGGAAATATTATTGTAAAAGTTCATGAGGTTTCAGGTGAGGTTTGTATCTGTCACTATGAAGCATGTTGCACTGAAGTTTGATAAATTGCGGTCTAATTAACAGGTTGGGTTAGCAACATGTCCTCCATTCCTGGGTTGCACTCCGATGAAGGGTGCTATATAACTTGAGTTTATATAGGGCCCTTCATATGGGATAGCGTCCCGGAGTGCTTTGACTTGCATATAAATGCAAGTTGTTGCAAATGCAAATGTATAGATGGACTTTACAAGCCCCCGTAATTGTGTGTATGTATAACAGCGAATGAAAAGAATTCCAGCTGACGTTGTTAAAGCACTGAATCCCAGAGGATGCATTTGTTTATGGGATTTCCTAACATTTCTTGGGTCTGTTTTTTTTCTCTTGATGTATTTGTTAAAGGTCATGCTACGTGTCCTCTTATCCAAACATCAGCAGTGATCTGTTTATGTAAGGTTGAAATTTAGACAACTTATAAGAGAGTCTCGTTACAGACTGAAACTATAATGGGCAAAGCTAATTTTGATTCTTGTATGGTGAAATTGGTTCTACAAAACTCAAATGGTTGTAGTGTAAGATTATTTTTTAACAAGGAGGTATCAAAGTATTAGAATGAAGCCAATGCAATTTTAAAGTAGCAGCTAATCGTTATTGGAAAAAACAGAGAGGAGGAAAATAACTTGAGCTGATAAATTGTAAATGTGAGTGTATTGTATTGTAGAGCTTTAGTAATTAAATGCAAAAAACCCCAGAATATATTTTGAAGGTCCTTCAGTGGGTTGCCATTGCTACAAATCTATGCTTCATACCATGCCTGAAATTCAGCTCAAACATCTTGTAAGAATTAGTGGCTAAGGCATTTTTTTACATGGTCTGTAAAGCCAGCGTATATTGTAATATTCAGGAAATGGATGACCTCAGCAGTAAAACCGCATTGACGCCATGTTGGCAGTGGCCATAAGAGGAGTCTTGGGAGTTTTAAAACTTTTACTACACAAGATATCCCAGAGATGTAGAGATTTGACAAACAACATCTGTAGCCTTGTTCCTAAGCAATAAGCAATCAGTTTACCTCACGATAAACAGGAATTTAGAGAAGCCAATCATTTTCCCTGTTAACCATTGGGCCAGTAAGTCAACACAATTTTTTAAAAAAAGCCATTCAGGCTGGTAGAATTCAAGATCTTTGTCCACGCGCTTCCCCCTCCCTACCATCATGGCCACCGCCCCCCCCCCCCAGTTCAGGTGCAAGTCAAGACTGTCAAGCACCTTGGAACATCTTCCCAAAGTGAAAGTATGAATGTAAATTGTGTTGCCTTGCATTTTAAGATTATACTGACTGGAACTAAAGTTGTTTTGCTGTTTAGCTTGGATCAATTGGGTAGCGCACTTGGCTCTGGGTTTGTGAATTCAAGCCCTCATTCAAGCTCACAGTCTTAAGCTGAGACTCCAGTGGCGTATTCACTGCAGATGCCATGCTTTTCTTCCACTGTTTTGGCAATAACTCTCCAGACAAATTGGTCATGCACCTCGTGGTTACCATGTTTGCCTACAAAAATGGTCATTATTTTGGACAATAATTAACTGTAATAATTAGGCACTATAAAAATACATTCTTTTTTCTGTTTACCACTTGAGTATTCGATCACCACAGCAGAGGAGTATTAGCCTGCCTTTGCAGTTATAGTGATTTTACTGAATGATTAATGTAATTTAATGCAACCATTAGTAGCTTCTGCTTTGACTCAGCCCTTTGTAATAGAATTGTTCAGATTAATTCCAGATGTTAATAGAGCACAGCAGGATTTGAGAAATATGAACATCCTGGTCAAATAGTGTTACTAAATGTCTTGGCAGCAAGATATAAAAGTTAACTTGGTTTTCCCAAATGTTTTGATTAAGAAAACCACTGAACTATACAGACCAGAAAGTCACAGGTTTAAATCTAATCTGTCCTGAGTTTGCTGTTTAAGCAGACTGTGTCTTTGCTAAAGCAATTTTGCTATTGTGATGCTTTTAGTTCACTCCACAGCTGCTTAGCTGATGACAGAATAATGTTCATGTATCAAGTGGTTTGTGGTAGCTTTGCTGACCGAAGCAAGGTCTGAACTGTGATAATTATTCTGAGAAGAGCAAGGATGTAGTAGGGACCATTCATCAGAAACTTGAAACTTTTTTTATTTTTATGTAGGAGCCAATATCTTCCTGACTTCATCAGGTCTGATCAAATTAGGGGACTTTGGTTGTTCTGTGAAACTGAAGAACATTGCACAAACCATGCCAGGTGAAGTAAACAGCACCCTGGGGACTGCTGGTAAGTGAACATGGAGTGGGGTGTGTTTTGGTGGGATGGGGAATGGTAATCTGTTTACCACTATGAATGTGATTACATGTAGATTGGATCTCCTAATTTACTACCCATGAAGACTTGAGTAACTTTAACTGCCAATACTTGATCACTGGGATCACAATCTCACTGGGATAAATCTGTGCCAAATTTCCAGAATTGTGTTTGTTCTTTGCACATAAAATATTTCAATGTATGTCTGTTTGGTTACTTAAGTGCTGATAGTAGGACATTTGTGTGGGGTTGAAACTATCCGACTGAAGAAAAGAGCATGGGAGGACTAGAATGAATAGTTGACCAGTTGGATATGTCTGATATTGTAATGAGTGTTGCTTTTTCAGATGTCCATTGTTACTGTTGAGTCATGCCTTTCTTGGAGAGTTATTTCCATCTATGAACCATTAATTATTTTAATAACTGTTCACCACTGCTTTGTTGTTTTAGGTTTCTTTCATACACTTGAAATGTTACGTTGTTTATTGCATTGTATTTAATATGGATGACTAAACTGGCTCTGAGTCACAGGAATACTCAGTACCAGTGAAAATCATTGCGGTTCATCTGGTCAGTCCCACAATTAAAAACAAATAAATAATCCCAAAGTGCTCTTCATTCTAATATTCTAAAAATGTCAGGCTCAGTTAGTAGCACTCTCACTTCTGGGTCAGACGATTGTGGGTTCTGAACTCTCCAATGCTAAGATCTTTATGCAGCAAACAAATTTTTTTTTTACTATTTGGATATTCAGGTTTAACTTATAGCAAATTAAATTTCTGGGGAAGAAATTAGGTGAAGCAGGGAGAATATCTCCAATTATTCAATGAATGAGATAGCAACTCAATCTTTAGATAAGTTAGCCTGCTGCCCAAAGTGAGAAGGACACAAGTATTTACATGATTTTGTGGTACAAACATGTTAGTAAGAAAATATCAGATCTAGACTAGATAATTCCCAAATATTGGAAAAGAGCAGGCAAGAGTTTTCATGACCGCATTTCTTAAAAAGGCCACCTGTTCTCTTGCTTTAAAGCTTTCATGGCCCCTGAAGTTATAACAAGAGCAAAGGGTGAAGGACATGGGCGTGCTGCAGACATCTGGAGCCTCGGTTGTGTCCTTGTGGAAATGGTCACTGGCAAGGTGAGAAATGCTCCTGAGTGTATACCTGGCGAGAGTGGGCTTCTGTGTATAACGGAAATGTCATCATCTAAAATTTATAGTTTAGAATGCATGAAATTAAACCCCCAGTAAATTGTCTTAATATCTGGAATCCAAATCTTGGTGAATTTACTTGCGCAAGTGTTAGCATTTGGAGATGAGTTAATAATGCACAATGTCCATGTGCAAATAGTCCTTCTGAGTAAACCTTTTTTTCCCCATTTGTCTTCAATTAAAATAGAAATGAAAGGATGCTACAGTTCCAAATATATTTGTATTATGTATATATCTTGAAGACTGCCATTACTTAATATCATAAATATCTTGTAATAAATATGTGTTTAGAGGTGGAGAAGAAAACCATTGCTAAAGTTAAATTGATCAAGGGAACATATTATTCATTTGACACCGGTGATTCATTTGGCTGTGTGATTGATGAAGTAACTTCAAGTTTGAAACCGACTCTGTCTCAAGATGCTTATTGCAAAGATGACAGATGTGGTCTTGAGCAATTTCATGTTACAGGCAGGATCTGTTTATTGATAGTGTTAAAGATTTTCATTACTTGATTTTAATTGTTGTGTCTGTGATTCAGTCGAAAAACTTTGCATCCAGGCATTTAGCCTGCTTTTGTACCTTAGAACAAACTCACTTGCATTTTTCCAATTTCAGAGGCCCTGGCACGAGTACGAACATAACTTTCAAATAATGTATAAGGTAGGAATGGGTCACAAGCCTCCCATCCCAGAGAGGTTAAGCCCTGAAGGCAAAGACTTCCTTTCCCATTGCTTGGAAAGTGAACCAAAGCATCGCTGGACAGCTAGTGAACTCTTGGATCATCCTTTTGTTAAGGTGAGCTGTCAGAGCATTGTAAAGCATCATTGCAAGATTTTTAATGTGTAGCAAAGGCTTGTTATTACCTTAAAGTAGCAGCCAGAATGCAGTTAGTGGATTCAATTGGCAACAGCTTTCTAAATATCTCTCATCCTTATCTCACTGAATTTTGGGGTGCCCCGGTTGGTGCAGTTTCACGGAGCTTAACGATCACTGAATACCATACATTTCCAGGTCTGATTTGTGATTAACGGTGTCCTATTCATTGCACTATTTTAATTTTAAAGGACCTGCTGTCAGATGGAACTGAGCTACTGTCAAATGATGACTGTTCTGAGGTTAATTTAAATCCATGGGTTTTGTAGTAGCAAAATGATACTTTTTAGATATTTCAAACATTCTGCTGCACTTGGCTCTAGTCCCAGTGATGTCTTAGTTATGATAGGATTTTAATGATGCATTTAAGTTGTAAACAGATTAAACATGCTGGGAAAATCCCATAGTCACTGAAACCAGATGTGCTGTTTCCTCTCAAGGTCTACCCGAGGGGAGTGGTCTGTCCATGGAATAATGTTGTGTTAAGTCAAATCATGGGAAAGTAACTTGTGTTAGCTTGAATCCCTGTGGGCAAATTCTGGCTGAAACTATCCTGTGTTCACAGGTTTGCTGTGATGAAGAATGAAGCTGCCAAAACACAGACTCCAGGAGTCTCCCAGACACATGAAAAGCAATCACTACTGCAAGTGACGATAACTGTGCCAGGAAGGTGCCGATCTCTAACACTGTACAACTGAAGACTGCATGAACAGCTACCGAGGGTCACTGTACTGCTGTTTCTGTGAAGCTGATAGGCCAAGACTGCACATGTTGGGCATTTGACTGTCTTGCAATTTAAAATAAGCTGCATGCTTTATTGGAAGTGCCATTACTACTGTACAGACTGTTGTAGTTTCTGCCCCCCCAAAACTTGGGAACTGTAATATTGATCTGTAGTATTTCAATTTTCTATAGGTTCCAAGGAGTTTTTGTGTTGTCAAATATTCTGATTTGTAAAATGTTTTTATCCCGTTTCTTGCGCTAAGCACCTATTTTCAATGTGTAAGAAGAATGCACTGACTCCTGTGAAAGTTTGTCTGCATATCCAAGTTTGTTCTGGAAGGACTGTAGACTTGATTGATGAAATACAATCGTTTTCCAATAAATTCTTTATTTTAGGAAGACTGCGGTGCTGATGTGTGACCAGCCTTGGTTGTGTAAATCTTCTGAAGCTGAAGGGTGTTGCATTAAAACTCAATGGTTCTGCTGTTTGTTGGAATAGCACTTTATTGATGTTTTATCAAATAAGGAAGTAATGTTACATTTGGAAAAATAGTTGAACATACGGTTCAATTCATGTTTGTTGTCCCATCTTGCATTGCCCAAACTGCTGTCCTTTCATATTAGCTGCAGTAGCATTGAGATGAGGGTTGGTGGGTAAGAAAATCTATGGATGTTATATTCAGTATGACTTTTAATGAAGTGCTGCATAAGATTGCTGGTTGAAATAGAAAGGCATAGAGGTGAGGACTTACAAATTGGATCAAAGGAAACCAAGGCTTGCAGTGATCTTATTAATAATAATCCTTGCATTTGATATAGCGCTTTTTACATCTTCTGGACGTCTCAAAGCGCTTCACAGAATATCATGTAAAGTGAATTGACTGTATATTTGTGAGCGAAACGTGACAGCCAATTGAGCACAGCAGTGTTCAGTGGAGTAAGGAAACTTGCCCAAGGTTTCGCCCTGCCTGGAATTGAACCCAGGTGTCTCGCTTGCAAGGCGAGTGCTCTAACCACTGAGCTACAGGACTCCACTATATAAACTATTGTGTTTATGTGTGACTGGACTAGGTCAGAAAGAATCATAAATATAAACTCAATGGTACATGTTTCCAGGACACATCCCAGAGATCGTTTCTGAAGATATTGATTGCAAACTCTTTGGAGGGTTAGCGCACCAGTCAAAGAACAGAATGGGCTTGGAGGTGTGTGTATATATATATATATATATATAGAGAGAGAGAGAGAGAGAGAGCACATTATTGGGGCATGTGGAAAAATTCACCAACAACTTGCAGTTATAATAGCACCCCTTCACAAAGGGTCAGGTCTGAGTCTTTAATGGCAGAGCTTATCATTGAGCTGGAGAAAAGGGAGAAACCTAATGAATTAAAATATGTGGAATCAAAGGCACTCAAATTAAGACAGGAATATAATTGGTGTGTTGTGGCTCAATGCTGGCGCCCTCCCGATCTTAAGGTTTGGACAAGTGATGGTTGAAATGAAGTCCATTGGTAACCAAAATATAACTGATAGCATTACTATAACTAAAAGTAGGGCTATCAGATAGATTTTGCTAATTGTTTTAGAAAATAATCAAATGTGCATAACTAATGATTTTTTATCTGTTACAGTAAGAACCTTCAGGAGTAAAATTAACTTATTTTTGAATTGTAATCACTTTCAATGGGAAAAAAAGGCGAGGCCATTGTTTAACCAGCTGACAAAAATACATTTTTGCTACAAAGGTATATTGATATTATTGTACTACAAAAGTAAAACTTGGATTAAAGCCAAAGTAAATACTCTTCACAGCAGCTAGTTGGTGCTACCATAAATAGTAACCGAGAGGTAAGTTATGCTTTGTACTGCTTGTAGCAATTCAACATCACTTCTAGCAGTGAAAATAATTGGAGACGAGAATTTTATTTCCAGTTCTAATTGCAAAGATGGAGTGAATCCTGTTCACCAGTAACTGCATAGGCCGAGCTTTGGGTTAAGATTTTAAAATATCTAAGAGCTGGTCTAGCAGGAAAGCTGAGCGCAAGAGAACTGCTTACAAACATATTTTAAAATTGGCAGCAGTGCAAACCAATATACAATTGCACCTAATGACATCCTGAACCTACCTGACTTTTAGTGGGTTTGGAACCATATCTGTCCCTTTAATAAGATGGTATTACAATCAATACAGACCAAATTGTCTTGCATGCTTTTGCATCAGAATAATAAAGAAACCACTTTAAATGTTATGTAAAATTATTGTGTACATAGGGAAAATACCTATCAACACTGGTGAATATTGGGGGAGACGAAACTGGGACCCAACCAAATTGCCTGTGGTTTTTGGAAACACTTCTGATCCATTGAAATCTACAGTACAAATTCGGACGAGGCATCATGATTTTTGAGACTGTCACAATAGCATATTTTGTCAAAATGGTAAGTTATGGTTTAATATGCATCCCTTATAAAATATATAAACCAACAGTACTAGGAATCTGTCACAAGCCGACCAAGGGCTCACCTGGACAAATTCAATGCAGATATTTGCAATTATGGTTCCGCTAGGATAGTCATTCATTGACAATAGTTTCAACATTTTATTGCTAAAACTAGCCCAAAATGTACTGTATATCCAGGCATGGAAGCCAAAGAAAAGCTCACCCACCCAAGTGCTGTGCTGCTAACAGTATACTTGAAATGCTAAACCTCAAGTCATGGCACACTTTGGTCCTGTTTGTGCTGTATTATTAGTCACTGCAATAAACTGAATTATTACTGTGTTTTCATTAAAAGTTTCTCTTCCAAGCAGAAAATGCAACTACAGAGACAGGATTCCTTCACAGACAATGGCTTCAACTAGAGAATGTACACTTCATCTCAATTATTGCCACAGCATCACTTGGTGAATGTACTCCTTTGTTTTGGCCATTTTTATTAAAATGTTAAGATCCGTGTAACAAAATGCATTTTCAAATTAATATTTTCCAGTTTACCAACTGTCACACTGTTAACAGGAGAATATCACAATAAAGTTGTCTCCCCATAAATTAGAATACACAACGCAATAAACCAGAAATAGGGGAAGAATGAGGGGAAAGGCAATTTCCCTTCAAAGAAATTCTCATCAAAAGAATTAAAATAGCATGTGTAATACCTGTCTCTGGCAGCAGATGGCACGATTACACCCAAAACATTGTGTGAAATGTACTTATGAGTTGTATATCCCAACTTCACATTTATGCATTTATAAAACACTAAAGAGCATAAACTTTGGAAAGATAGCCTTTCTCCACGCCAAGTTTTATGGGATTCAGCTTCATTTTGCAGTATTTGTAAATTTTGCTAGAAAGTTAATAAATATTTGACTGACATTCTGCATAATCTCAGACATTTACTTCAATCAAATCAGTTTTTTAAGAAGAAGCACCTTTAAACATTTTGTTAACATGCTCAAAGAGGTAGTTGGGACATTTGGAAGCCATTGGTCTGAAAGACCTTGTTTGTGATTTGGGTTTTTACTTCAAATCACTCAGCTAGTAATGTTTCAGCTTGCTGAGATGCAACAATAACAAAACAGCATTTCAAATGCTGTTTTAACTTTTTTGAATGTAGAAATGGACACTTATTTCTCCCTCTGAGCCAAAATTGGGTGCATCATGTGAGGATGGTCTTTTACCACCAATACATTTTGGATGCAAAACATTCCAACTATGTTATTGTAGCAATCAGTTTCTGAAAGCCGTAGTATCCACACACAAATGGGCTGCAATGAGAACTCATCTGTGCATTCTCACCATTTAACAATTTCAATACTTACATTTACACTTTTCTTCTACCAATTTCCCTATGAATAAGACGTTGCTTGTGCAGTAACATATCTGTAGACAAATGTCGAGGGAAGAGAAAGAAAAGTAACCCAGTACATTCATGTATGAGATTAGTGAACAAGTATGTTAAAGCTCTTGCTGTAAACTGACAATATGCAGATGTTCTGACAGGTTTACAGTATTCAAGTCCAGTGAAATTTAACACTAGTTTTGTTTTTTCATCGATCCATGATTTGTAACAATTTTTTCCCTTTATTTGATGAGTTTGCATGTGTCTTTTTTGTAGAAAAAAAACACTGCAATTACATCTCTAAGACTTGCCCACTTTAGTAAGTGAGTTCCTAACTGCATAGAGAATTACTGCATTACTACAACTCATTCTGATACTAATTGTAAAACAAGACCAATATGGCTAGCAGAAGGTGAAGAACTATAGAACACATCTCTCCGTCCATCACCACTGAAACAAGCTGCTGGGCAATCGGCAGTGAGTGAGATTACACTCACCCAACTTAAAAGGTAGTTCAATTCAAGGTACATACTATATCAATTCAAACCAGGATTTTGAAACTAACATTAGATCTACCCACGTGCTTGTTTGCTATTACAACAGGGCAAGCAACAACTAATCTTCAAATGATGTCTTAGTGACATCCCAATGACAATATGACCCATGCAACATAATTTATTGCCAGGTTCCCAAGAGTCCTGTGAGAATCAGAAATCACACTGGTCGCAAGCACAGCAACATTTACTAGCATTGGGTCAAAGTCCAAAGCTGTCTGATTTTCAGGAGCACCCCACTTATTGAAACTTAAGACTCTGAGCAGGCCAATGTATACAGAAATGAAAATACCACTTTTATGCATTGTTGTTGAAACTTAATTTATTACATTTCATCTTCCCTTTAAATTCATATTATTTAACAATTTAAGTTAGAAATGAACTGCAGGGTATTTTGGACTAAATTATTGTTACAGATTCACCCACCATACCACAGTTCATAATCACATTTAAACTCTTTATCCCCATATTTTAGGGGTTTTGCCCCACCCTGAGCTGCTCATCATTCCCCCAAATAAGGCAAAACAAACAGCACATTTACAGACCTCTGCTAACTTTTGGAGTGGGTTTTGCCAGAGCAGCCTGGAGTGAACATCCCCAACAATCTTCCCTCCCTGCAGGGAAAGTGCCTCACCGCTGCTTAGTGCTCACTGCAGACACAACCACGTGGATACAAACCCTAAGTTATTTAAAATCCTTGCCCACTTGGTTCATATAATTTGAAAAATCCCTCCCTCCTCTCTGGGCAAAGTATACAAAATATATTTATACATCAGCACTTAGTAGTGACAAGACACCGCCTGCTTCCTCCCCTCCCACCCCCCCACTTTCCCGCAACAATGACTTATTCAGTAAAATACATTTGAATAAGTTAGAACCACATTGTTAATTTTTAAAAAAAAACTGAATTATTTTGTGACACCAGCTTCCAAAGCAAACTCCAATTAGATGGAAACATTTGTGAAAATACCGCAAGCCACGTCAGATATTTAAGTGACGCTGTTGGTGCAACATTCTTTATTTCCGATTTGACTTTTCTTGTTACTTTGTGAATCCTTCACACATCACATACAGCACCATATAGGATTACCAATCTATCCTTATGTGCAGATGATGTCAACTCTGAAGAGCAATCTGCATGTAGTAATTGAGATGCAGCTTCCCCTTGACCCAATATTTGCCATGACAATCCATCTCCAAAACTATATTTGTTCCCTTTAAATGGTACTACCAATCTCCATTTGCGTGTGTGGGTCATTTTTTCAATTTCATATCATTGTTGCCATAGTTGGAGCCTTTCTCGATCTCGGTCACTCCAATCATCCACCGTATGCCAACAGAAGCTGAGGAAACAAAAGCAGGGTTTTGATGACATTACAATAGTAGCTCAGTGATTAGAGCTCTCACCTCGCAAGCAAGAGAACCTGGGTTACCGCTGGGCAGGACGAAATGTTAGGCAAGATTTCTTACTTGACACCGAGCAGTAAGTAGGAACCCGGTTGTTATTCAATTGCCAGATCGCTTTTCTGGGGGTAATAATCCCTTCAAAAATAATTAAATAATATGGTCACTCAATCCACGACTGTTTGTGGGACACTACTGTGCGCAATTGCTGCATTTCGGCCACAAAATATACAGTCAATTATCGTTCAGCATATTCTGTGAAGCGCTTTGAGACATCTCAAAGTGATAAAGCACTATATCAAATGCAAGGATTATTATTATCATCAATCATATCTACCACAGAAGTCACTATGCAGATCTAATTCCTAAAGCTAGATTCCTAAAGCGGAACCATCACCTTCATAGTACAGAGATATTCAATTGAAAGGTGGTGGTGTAATTTCTCGCTACTCCCCAGCAGAATCGCACAAACAGGCATCTCGAGGTCAACTAAGTACTTGCAGTTTGCTCTGTAACAGTTCACATCAGCTACGTTCTGAGGGACACGCCGAAGCTCAGTTCAGCTGTGGCAAAGGCCAGATGAGGCGTGACCCCAGCCAGAGCAGTTCCTGTACTAACCTCGTTCACCTCGGCGTCACATCCCCAAGAGCCAGGTTCCCTACCCAGGAGAGAGGGAGGTAGCAGGCGGCACTCATTGTGTAATTCAAAAGCGTTCCCCACAAATCTCAATGTATGTAACATTTGCGTGTATGCAATGTCTTTGTAACGTACCAAGAAATGCTCAACCTGTAAGCAAAGAGCATTCCGCCAATCGATGTCTGTCTCTCCGCATAGAGGGGGGAGCAGTAGAGTGCTGTAATGGCTCGCTGTCGTGTAGATAAAGGAGGGCAGGGCCAGGTCTGGCTCACCTGTGTAACTGCTCCATGTAGATATAGGCAGTAGAACTCAGGTGGGAACATCTCAACGGAGGTGCACAGGCTCCACCCCACCGCGGGCTGGATTGTTTTATATTGTGCGTTCTCCGTCATGATGTTCTCAGGTGTAATCGGTGTAAACACGTGTGGTGTTATACCATGTATAGCCGTGGTTAGCAAGAGCACCTGAGCAAGGTTTATGTATGTGGTGCACACCGGGACATTTGAGTTGTTACTGAAGAGCTTCCTGCAAATGTGTGCACACTGCGTGTATTGTAAACCTCTCTATGGGGTGGGGGGGAGGGCACAAAACCCACCTTATAACTGTCCCCCTGTAGAGGACGGTAGTATCCCAGGGTAGGCATCCCTTGGTGCTTTAACCAGAGTGGAGAGCGCAGAGATAGCTTCCCCCCCACAACCCGGCCCCCAGGCCATGAGGGGCCAGATCTGTTGCGTGGTATAATAATTGATTAACGTGTTGCAGTTTCTCTTTTCTGTGAGGGGAATTTTTTTCTGAGACACGTGTAAATATATATTCTATATATCAAATATATTTTGTTTTAAAATTGGCAAGATTGGTGGTCATAAACTGCTTAACCTCTAATACATTTCAACCTAGGCTAAATTAACAGAGGCAAGGCAAAACTAATTCATTCAATCAGATGTTATGATCGAAATCAGTCTGCTTTTCTGATGTACACAATCAGTTTCACAGAATGAGTTGAGTGAAAAACACATAATGTGTTTAGAAATTAAATAATATCACCTAAATCAGGCAATACACCATGAACACAAAAAGGTCAGAATAAATCCCAATCAAGTGTTTACAATCGGTTTGATTTCAGCATCACTGCAAAGTCAAAGGTGTTATTCAAGTCACCATGTCTTAAGAAGCAACTCAGTTACAAACCAATAGCATCACATAAGAAAGCATCTGGATCATTTCGATCTGAAGCACAGTAACACATATGTGAATGTCACTTACATTCAATACAGTGTAAGAAAATAAGCAGCTTTAATATTAATTCATAAAATTACAATTGTAGCTATTGAAGCTATCCATCTCTTCCTAAAAGCAAAACATAGTTCTCTGGATTAAAATAAATTTAAAATAAATAAAATGGATTAAAACTGGGTAATGCTACAAAGCCCCGACAATCTGATGTGTACATTAACAACAACATTTGTATAGCGTCTTTCACGTCAGGAGGACGCCCCAAGGTGCTGGACATTCAGTGAACTATGAATCAGATGAATAATTTCACATAATTTTAACCTAGAGCCTTTGGCAAGTAACATTTAAGATCACAGTGCTCTGAGACACTATGCACTTGAAGGGCACTATATAAATGCACACTGGGTTTTAGGTGAAGCATTATATTGAACATCTTATGTCAGCTACATATTTACCTTAGTTTGTTCTACAATTCTGCTCATCCAATAAAAAACTTTGCATATTTATTCAGTTAAAAACCATAAAAAGGTCCAACTGTAAGCAGTTGTTGCCTTCATTCATTTAGGTTCCCCCGACCATTCTTGTGGGAGATGATTGGAGGAAAGACCCAGTGTGACCAGTAGTTTAGCACCTACCAACACTCCTCTTCAAACTGGCCTTGAGGAGCATGAGTGTGGTACAGATTGTTTTCCCTCTATGTGAAGTCTCTCTCTTTTCTACCCTCTTCCTCCAAATTCTGCTTGTTGCTTTCTCAGAAAGCTCAACTGAGATCAGAATGCAGCACAGGAAAGGCATGGACATTCCTAACATCACACACCATTACTATAAGCAGTGGAAGCCTCCACTGTACCAGCTGTTTTCGCTAATACTATTAGGTGTTTTGCTCCAAGCTTACAATGTGCATCATTAAGTGTGGAACAAGAGGTTTGCAGCAGACTATGTGTATTACATTTCCATTTTCAAGAGAGGTTTACAATGAAACACATAGGCAAACAGTGGCTAGATTCAATACCCACTTTCACATCATAAATGACAGACCATCTTAGCCAAGCTGCATAGCATTTATGAAACTGGGCATTCAAACATTCAGAATCATGCAATAATAAGTCATATGCAGTGTACTATCTTTGTAAGCAATGCACTGCATGCAAGACTGCAGTTTTACAGCTACTAAAAGAGGACAAATAGCCATTCGAAGATGCCTCAATGCTCCAACATTAGTGAATGTACAGAATGCGTACTGTATAACAGGGCAATTTACACAAAGCCTGATTTTAAAAAAAAACATAAAAATATCATGCTTTAGTATTGTAGCACATGCGAGTACTGCAGTGAGGGTTTACTGTACCTGCACAATAGCAATAACAAACCCAGGAGTGTGTGTCCTCATTCAGTTTTAGCAGCACACTACCTTGTATTGAAATGGTCTCCAGTTAACCAGAAACTGGATAAATTATTTTGAAGTTCATTATACACAAGTTTGGGGTGCAGCAACTTGACCCCTCCTTTTCTGTGTCTATTCTTAGTCAGGAGCATAACAAGATACTCACAAGTCTGATACCTTACACAAATGGTGGTTCTTTGTAAACGAAAACCAAAAGCACCAGCTGTGTGCCTGCCCATTGGAAACGTTGGGGGNAAGTGGGGAAGGAAAGGAAAGAGGAAAGAAATTATCCCTGCCATAAATGTTTTCATTCAGTTACTTCAACTAAAAAACAACCATTTTTAAAACCTCAAATCAGGACCTCCCTCTTGTTGGACAGCACCTGAATAATTAATCACAATATTAGGTACTGATCATCCCAGTCTCCCCTGTATTCAGTGCAATAATTCTAGCAGACTAAGAAACGTTGCACATCATGACATTCACAGGCAAAGGTTTTTAAACCAATGCGGGGTAATCTGAAAACTTCGTACAACTGCAGCTTTTGAGCAATACTCAATACGTGCAACGGGATGCGATCTGGAAAGCTCCATGTTGCTTCCTCCCTTTTGCACTCAGTAACCTCAGAGCAGACAGTCTGAGGTTATTTGCTTCCATTAATAAAAGAATCCCCAAATTTAAAAAAGGTGTTTTTGTGGCAGACTGGTTTCTTTACAGGCCCCTTTAAATCACCACTTAATTTAACCCAAGTTGTGGTTCAGTTTTTTACAAATTGAAAACAGTCCTGCAAATAGGCCGTTGGTAATAGACTGAACTGTCCTCTAAACACCAGATTGGGCTATTGGGTCTACAGCAATACCCAAACACCTGGATTGCCCACATCACAAACGACTGGGAAACCAGCTGTTCTGTCATTTCAAACTGTCCCAGGGACATGAAAAGTTAATTTAAAAGCAGCAACTCCATGAAGATATTTATCCAATTTGTTTTGTTTTACATTTACATCGGGAACATGTATTTGCTGCAGGGCAGGCTTGCCTTGGCAACTCTACAGCAGAGGGTTTTTAAAAACGAATTTAACCTATCAAGAACTCCCCACTGATACTCCTATAAACTTTGGAAAGAGGAAAAATAAAAACCAAGTGTTGAATATTCAATTCAAGAATGCAGCACTTGGGACATTACATTTTCATGCCTTCAGGCAGATAAAACCATATTTGGATACAAAGCAGAGAGTAAAGAAAAAACAGCTTGAAAATTAAAATCAAGTTTTCAGGTATATTGCACAGCAAATTGTACCTTTGCAACACAAATGAGACCCTGAAAATCAAGAGAACTCATTATGAAGCTCAAGCTCCCGGGGTCTTGGTTGCATTCACTTTATGGCGCTGATGGGAGCTAGCACCCAAAAGATACCTATACTAGTAATAATTATAAATAATAGTATGATTCCTGCTACGTCCCAGCGGCTTTAAACAACCGTTGCTTACGAAGGTTGCTTGGACAACGATGTAGACAGATGTACACTTTGCCACCAGTGGATTTGCCTGGTACTAGCACACCTCCTTACTGCAATGCTAATTTTACTCTTAAAATTACTAAACTGACAATGTAATGACTCCATTCTATCCCCAAAAATTAGTTATTGAGACAGAGAAAAAAAGGCTTTGAGCAGACAGGTATAAAAAGACCTAAAGCACATCACTGTGACATTGTTATCACTTTGGTAAATGCACAAGTTTAGAGAAGACCACACTGGAAGCACAACAAAGGATGAATGTTAGCATCAAACAAAAAGTGATGTTCTACATTTCAGTAAAATCATGTCAGTCAGCTTTCCCACAAAGACAAGATAAAAAACACACCCCTATGGGCAAAGCAGAATCCTTTCTACAGCAGCGAGGCATGCAGCATACACATGCTTATAGAAAAAGAGAAAATGGCATATTGTCTCACCACCCCCTTGTGGCATAGACCTGCAACTGAGAAGACAAAAATCTGTGATAAAAAGCAATTCCTAATAAAACTTGGAAGTATTCACATATACTCAGAAGTTACCTATTGTATTACAGGAAACCCATTATGGTACTGAACTCTCCTTCAAACATTTGCCCACTGTCTCTTGGATTATGCTCTTGGATACTATAGTTTTGAAAGACAGAGAGTTCTTGTGTGAACAGATTCTGTTTGTGGGAAGTAACTTGTTGTTGAGCACCTGTTTTTTTTTGGTCAGCCGGGTATCTGACACATGCGGAAACCCATCCCCATGTTTAAGAGTAACCAAACTAAGCTGAGATTTCTATGCATCCCACCCACACATGGAAATCCCAGAGTTAGATTGTTGGAATGAAATATGCACTCTCTCCCTGGAGGGACACATCCTGCTTACCTAATTCCAGAAAGTATTAGGCACAGGTTGGCAACAGCCAAGGCTTGGGGACCCCAGAGTATGCGTTGGGGTAACTGCTGGAGTCTAACCAGCTAAAACCACATAACTTGCCATTGATATTGCTGTCCGGCAAGCTTTCCCACTGCTTGTCCAGCCAGCACCACTCTATCTGTTTGGCCTTTGGCTTGCAGGGTTAACAGGAGCTGAGTGGGATGACTCCCTGCCCCCCAGTGACTGGTCTGCCTTTTCAGATCCTGCCAATGAGTCAGGCTGGCTGTGCTGTCATCAGCAGTGCCCTGGATTACTGTGGACCCGTCCGGCTCAGGACCGGACTACCAAGATCGCCACAGAGGGCTGGCTCAATTCTGATATTCCGTTGCCCAGGCATGTTACCTTCCCAATTACCTCCGCCTCCCCAGGAGGATATTGGGAACCTGCAAACAGACGACCTTTCAACATCATTGCAAATATGGGTCTCACCTATGATCAGCAGCATTAAACCCCTAACTACAGGAAAAGGCTCCATCCACTCGATAATGCCGATTTAGGAAAAATATTATTGAAGACGAAGTTAGATGCGAGTTAAGGTTTGTAAAAAGTTGTTCGACAGTTAATGCACATTATTTGGAAGCAGAAAAAGTCAACTTTCCCCATCAAGAGTCAGGAAACCAATTGAATATCTGTAACCCAGCCCAGCAGAGGGAGCCAT